TAACATCCCACATAGCAGCAATAACAATGCCACTAGCCACAACAACAACAGCCATAACAACAATAAGAACAACAACAGACAACAAGCCAATCTTAAATAGCAACAACGGCAACAACAAACAAAAACAATAATAATAATTCTCGCCACAGCAACAACAATGAGAACAGGAAATTAGAGCGATTTTTTGATGAGCAGAATATGAAATACTCTCGCAAATTTTTCATTTAAATTGCTGTGATTTTGATTGACTTTAGGCGATAGTAAAATTAACCAAAGAATCATTCTGCTTAATAGCTTAAAACTGTAAAACTGCATCTTGAAATATATAATTCTTTTTTATCAAACTGTGTATGGTTTGAGGACCTCTTCTAATAATTTAAATCTTTTTTTTGCTGGCTATCGAAATAAGATTATTTTATTAAATACTCCTATCTTTATATGTATGTATATGTCAATGTATATCTGCCCTTATTGTGGATTTTATTGCTAGCGGAAATTTATCTGTTTAGGTTCACCAAAAAGATGCTTGATTATGTGTTACAAATCTAGAGACACAAATAACAATTCCCTCTGGTAGTGTATTAAAAAAGCCAGTAAAACTTAACGTGCAACTTTTTTCACATGTGCATGTGTTGTGTGTGTGTGTGTGTGTGTGTGTGTGTGTGTTTGTGTGTATATGTTTGAGAGAATGTGAGTGTCAAATTGCGCAAATGCGTGTATGTGTAAGTGAGCGTGCGTATGCATGTGTGTGCGTATTACAAAAGCCGCATGCTGCTATGCCAGTGTGCAGATGTGTGATAATGCAATTGTAATTGTGGTTGTAAATGTGCATTTGCATTTGTTACAAACTCTGCTCGCATTGTTGTTGTTGCTGCGGCAAGTTTAAACAATTTGCACATTGTTAACATTTATTTATCACTGTCGTAACAATTTGTGTCCATTCTGCATGTGTGTGTGTGTGTCGGTGTGAGCGCGTGAGAGTTTGTTATTTAAATTATCTCCTGCAGACAGTTGCCATAAATTGTGCATCCTTTTCTCCCTAATCAGTCCGCCAAGCCAACTTTAAATGTTAAAGTGCAAGTGCAACGCAAGCAGCACAAGAGGAAGGTAAGGTAAAAGAAAATACGTGATAGCTACAAGCACAAGCTCTCTCTCTCTCTCTCTGTCTCTCTCTCTCTCTCTCTCTCTCTATCTCGCTCTCTATCTCTTTCTCTTTTAAATATATCACTGACAACAGCTTGTGCCGAAAAATCATTGCGTTGGGTAATATAGCAATTTGTATATATGCTGTGTGTGTGTGTGTGAGCACACTTCATAGATACAAGTGATGCATTGTGTGTGTGTTGTGTGTGTGTTACGTGTGTGTGTGTGCGTGTAACGTATGTATTTTTCCCATTTATTTATCAAACAATATGCAGCTGTTGCATTTCCCATACGCATTTTCCACGTATTGTGAATTTAATGCCAAACTTAATGTGCCCTTCACAACCCACCCACACCATTTACACTCTCTGTGTGTGTGTGTGTGTGAGAGGTTCTTAAGTTAGATAGAAGAAGAAGCAGCAGTAGCAGCATTCAGCATTTGAGTTCGCATTGTTCAGATGTTTGCAACTTTAGTTCTGGGTTTGGGCGTATCGAAAAAAGGTGGGCCTTCAACTATGCAATGGGTTTTGCTTATCAACATATCTGTAGCCATTTGCAGGACTAAATTTGTAGCTGAGTTGGGAATGCAAAATATAAATTTATAGACCAGCCACAGGCGTAAAAGCAGGCAGGAGACTAAATAAGTGAACCAATGTGACCCTCGAAAATATGCAAAGGCATTTGGAACTACAAATTGGATTCCATTAGTTATGCATTTGTCATAACTGAGAGAATATATAGAAGCCGTTATTTATTTATATTTAACATTTTACGAACATTGTTTAACGAAATAAGTCTTAAAGTACTTAAAAGCACAGTTATTAATACATTTAATTATATAATTTAAAACGGGTTTTAATTGAATAAATGTTTTTCATATTAGCAAGTAAAATATCTCTAGTCGAGAGAGCTTGTTTGTTATTAAATTCGCATAGTTAATCAAAAATATATTATCGTGAATTATATATTAATTGGAAATCTAAAGCTTTAAAACTGAGGCTTTTATTGCTATCCGAAATCTATATACTAATACTCGCCAAACAGGGGAAGTTTAAATAAATATTATCGTATTTTTATAATTATTAACATTAATATAATTTAATTCAGCTAGCCAATTTTAACGAATTGATAATATATAGTTATGTGCATATCAAACCAGAAAGATGACATAGGTAAAATGATGAAGAGTCATCTTATACATATCAAATGATATGCGGAGAACATATTTATTTTGAACATACAAAATTAGATAACCATCCAAGGAGCAAACAAAAAAAGAAAAAAAGAAGGAAAATTATTACAAATTGCTAACCAGGCAAATGCAATGACTTCATGGAGAGCATTCGCAAGCGCAGCTGTGGCAAGAAGCATCAGCAGCTGTTGCTGCGACGAAGACTTAAAACGTCGCTTGGCATAAATCCCACCCAGCTGCAGTCCGCTCTCCTCTTCCGCTCCTGCATCGCGCCTGCTGCCTCTGCCTACACCTAAGCGCATTTGTATTAAATCGAACGTGTTTCTTTCGTGGGGCTTGTGCCAAGACTTTAGTGTGTGCTACTTGCTACTGCTCCAGCAAGGACTGCACACAACTGTTTTATTTATTGACTGCACGTAGCGTATATCCTTATAATTTTTGTATGTCTCTACTCTCTCGGTGTGTGTGTGTGAGTTCTACATATGTCTCTATGCACCGGCCGCACAGAGTCGTTGGTCTGTGTCGGACCGTCTGTCGTCGATGTATGTCTGTCTGTCTGTCTGTGTTGCTTTTTTGCGCTCGACTGCACGTCCAAATATCTACAACAATTTCTTCGTCGTCAATGGCATTGAAGGTAGCGAGTTAGTTGCTACTCTCTCTCTATATATGCAATCAACTGAAATTGAAACCTGCAACAAATGGCTATGTTTGACTTTTTGCAGCGGCCGAACGAATCCCAACCCTCACCCCTCCCTCTCCTCCTCCTCCCATATACATATACTAGACTTGCTACCATGCTGCTGTTTGTACATTTTAACGGCTCTTGAGCAAATAAACGATTTTTGCATTTTAAATTTCTAAGCAGCCGTATGCTATTTGTTTATACGTATGTGCTTGCTACCAATAAGTACAATATTTAGGAAAATTGCATATCGATTTGGCGAATCCTTGGCAAAAATAAATATCTGCTTTTATGTGTGTGTATCTAAATGTGTGACAGAGTGTGCCTAATATGTATATCTCTGTGTGTGTTTGTATCTCTGTGTGCTTTTTTAATATCCCCCTTCATTTTGTGTTGTGTCTGTGTGTGTGTTCGTTAACCATTTGACTGTTCATTTCCTGCTTGAGATTACTTCTGTATATTTATGTAGTGTTCACTCTACCCAAAAAATATACAGAAATTATGATTTTCCATATTCAGATTGTAGCACTTTTTGTACACACTTTCTTATTGTGATCGATATCGATAATACAACTGTAATGAGTAATCGCTAACCGATATATCGATATTCTATACATCCAAATTGGCTGCCTCTTTTTACACTCTTTACAGAGCACTATATTTGCGACTAGGCTTAGACAACTTGCAAGCTTGTTCTGCACATGTACAGTATTAAATGTGTGATGTGGCAAATGCTCTATTAACTTTCAATATGCCACATGTGTGCAAAAATGTATGTGTGAGTGGCCAAAGTCAGCTTTCTAATTGACTATTTCCTCAATTCTTGCACTACAGCACCTATTTAATATATGTGCACGTAGCAGTGACTTCCTGCCCATTCACTTGCGGCTAACTGTTTTGCCTTCTAATTGGCAAATTTCGAATACATTCGTAAAATGTTGCTGCCCTTAAAAATTTGCAAAACTGGACTGGAGTGGATAACCTTATGTCATATTAAATATGCATATTAAATTATGCATGAATGGCAACTTGCCAAATGGGGCCGGAAAAATAACTCAGCCAGGTACTTTGGCATTGTGCATTAATAAAAAAACGCTTTAAGCCTGTCATAACAGGCGTGTGTACGTGTTTTTATTGTCAACTTCCCTTTGGTGTGGTGTGGCAACAACAAAAGCCGCACAAAAGGATAATTTCATATTCGCGTCGCTAACTTACGTAAATTGTTGAATCATACAATAAATAAAATGCAATGAATGTGCAAAAGTGCAGAGCGCGCATTGCTTGCGGTTTTCTACGGGGGGTTTGAGCCTCGAACGGAGAGGAGGGAAGCGGCAAAGGGAGGAGCCGTGCTACCTACGTTTGCCAAGCGCAGCAGTAAATAAATTAACGTCCGCCGCAGAAAAGTCAACGTCTTTGTTATTACGTACACACAGATACACACAAGTAAAAGGACTTGCATACGTGCTTACGTATCTGCTTACGTAGTTTCTGGCACGCATTTTAATAGCCTTGGCCTGGGGAGGATATAAACAAGTGTGTGAGCGTGTTTGTGTTTATGTTGCAGCTGCACATGTGAAAACCCGTCAAAAAGTAGCAGCCAACAATAATAACAATTTATTATTGAAATGCAAATGCAGTGAGTTTAAGTCAGAGTCAGAGAATGCCGCAAAGTTTTCATAAACTGCTCAGACTGCGATGACGACTGCATTATTATCAAAAGGTGCAACAAGATTTTTTTAATGGCCGCCACGCCTTTCAAGCCCTATCGCAAGTCGTGTTGCGTGCCATGAACAAATATTGGCAGTGTTGCTGCTGCTGCTGCTGCAGGCGCTGCTATAAATTGACTGAAAATTTAGCTGAACTCGTTGAATATGGCATGGCAATGGAACATTACTGTTGATTAGAGGCAGTAATTTTCTGTAGAACAACCTCAAATTGTAATTCATAAGTAAAAAGTAAATAAATAAATAAACAGCATAGATATTGTGTTAAATACTTCAAGCATCGAAAGCTTTGATCTTTTTTGCCTTTTATTGGTATATATTTAACCTTCGATGCCTGTCATTTATTTGCTTAGATCCTTGCATCCAAAATTATTCTATCGATAACACCGAAAAAAAAGCAATTACAGTTTTTGTTTAATAATATTGTCGTATAGCAATAAGCACAACAGCTTAATCGCTCTGATAGCCGAGCAACTTCAGCAAGGGAATTTGCATTTGCTTCTGTCCTCCACTCATTCGCACATCTATCAAACCCTCGGAGAACTCTGAGCACGGAGAGCAGCCACAATTTGAGGGCACCTCATGCTGTCAAAAGAAAATATAACGCAAAATTGGATTAAATGGAATAATATAAAAATCAATATAAATAAAAATGAACTTACGCGCTGAATGTATGCGTAGCCATCTGCGCAAACCATTTTCACTGAGATCGGTTCATAGGATTTGATGTTGCAGCACGTGCAGAATTTCTCATGCATATCGGTGATGGGATTATACTTGGAACCAGAACTACACGCGCCCTCACAATCCGTAAAGCCTTTGATTGGCTCGGCGTTAACACAAGCACCATGGCCAGGCTTTGAGAACTTCAGCAGCTCCTTTGTTCGCGACTCGGCGAGTGAAACGGGCAAACAAGTAGCTGAGATGAAAATTACATTTTTTTTTTGATTAGTTAAATGGGCATTCTAGAAACCTAAAAATCTGATCTAATTGTTGGTATAATTTTTAAGGCTATGTCAAGGCAATTATTACAAATTTATATATATATATTGCTTTCGCTTTTTTGTTTATACTCACAGAGATCTTCGACAATTGGCTCCGATTTGCAGCGTTTGCAGCAGCCATCCACATACAGCAAATGCGCCGCACAACGGCTAACATCCGGACAGATTTCAGCCGAGGAGCTGACCATCAATAGTTTATCCTTCTGCAGGCACACATAGTGCGTACAATTGTCCGGTGACGCCCATTGCGCATTTGCCTCGTAAAGTTTCTGTTCGAATACACAAGCGGTCTGAACGCATTCGCCACAGCATTTGGTCTTGTCCAGCTTCTGATAGCTATAGCCACGCGGACAATCCGTTTCGCATTGCTCCAGTGTGCTAATAACCTGAGCATTACCATCGGGACCATACGCACACTGCTCCTGCTTGCACACATCCTTTGCATGCAGCCACTTGTCGCCAATTTGCTTGGTGAAGCTGCTGGACTGCTCCACCTCATACTGCACAATACACAATTCTTTGGGTGGCACTGTGCAACGAGAGAGATCAATGTGGCAGAGTTCAATTGCTGGAGCAAAGTATATTAATATACTTACCGCATTTGTGTGTGTGACAACAGGCGCCATCTGCCTTATGGGTGCTGACCTCATAGAAGCGTTGCTGGCAGCTAATTGGTGCTGGCGGACACTGATCAACCTTGCAGACAATCTTCTGTGTGGGACAGCAGCCCTCATCGATCTTGACGAGGTGCTCGCCAGGCAACAGCTCACGTGGCGGCAACAGTGGCTCACAATCTTCCTTAGGTTTGCAAACTATTGAAAAATAATTATTGGTTATTAATATTTATTATTTAAAAATAATTTTGTTTGTTGTTTGGTTTAGGTAGAATTAGTTAGTCGTTAGTTTTAGAGTCATTAATATTGAAATAAATTTTAATTTTTTAAAGCTGACAAGTTTTTGAATACGCACCGCATATATACTGTGGACAGCCGTTGACATCGTTCTTCTGCTTCTTGACCTGATCAGGTCCACAGACAGGCATTACGGGTGCCAGGCACAGTTTTTGTGGATCTTTAGTCTCTGGAACACAGCGATAGCGTGGACAGCATTCCTCTTCGCTAACAATGATCTGTGGCTTGTAGTCATCGGCACAGATGTTCTCCTCCACTTGGCATTTCTTCTCGACGCACGAGCTCTTGCCCTTGTCATCACAGTGGCATTCGGTGCACTTGTCCGGCTTCCATTTATCACCTGGCAAATGGAGTCCATCATCGCATTTAGTGCAGGCCTCCTCTGGTACACATTTGCCGCCATCCATCACCTGACCGGCGGGACAGAAACAGCCCTCAAATCGCTCCGAGCTCGAGCACATTTCATCACTTTTCACCGTGCGGAAGACGACCTGAGTCTTCAAATTAACTGCATCAAAGTCGGACATGGCCTTGATGGTGTCACAGTTCTTGGCACAACCACATGGCTCGTAGATCATATCGCTGGGACAGTCATATGGGCAGAGCTGTGGTCGCCGCCAGTTGGTGCAGATGCCATTTTTGTTGCACTCGGTGGCATAGGCGGCCAGGGATGTGCAGACACCCTGCTGTGTGTTACCCGGCTTGCAGATATCCTCCTGGCAAGCGGTGACATATTCGAAGGGCTCCACCACAAGCGGACACTTGCCGAACAACTCCTCACTATAGAATTGCATGCAGGGGTCCTTCTCCGGTGGGAGTGGTATGCAATTATCCTTGGGCACATCCTCACTTAAGCACTCCTGTGCATCGGTCAATCCCAGCTTCGGTTCATCTGCCTGCCAGCTCTGTATGACATCTACGCCGGGTTTCTTCTTGGCCGGATTCGGTTGCAAATCATTGCTGGGATCCTCATTGCAATCGCCGCAAAGTCCTTCCATTTTACTGCCATACTTGATGCTGGGCACGCCGAGCGTAAACAACAAATCATCAAATGAGGCCGTCAGCTCCACATACGACTCGGGCAGTGTTAACACCAGCTCTTTGCCAACCACTTCACGTAACGTTATCCAGCTATCCTTATATGGCATCTGCTTCACCTCGAAACCATCGACCAGGACCTGCAACGCCTTGGGCTGTTTCGGCACCCGTTGCACGTGAATCACATGATCCCCATTCAGTATGTGCAGCGACTTGGCGCAACTGCTGCCATCTGTGGCACTGACTTGGCCCAGTTTCTTGCAGTCATCCATGCTAACATACACCTGGAACGTATGTACGCCCGGCAGCACCACATCCCGCGACAGCAGATATGTGCAATTGCCATTGAAATTGAAACTCTTGCGATCGTAAGTCATGTATTTGGAGCCACCCAGTGCCCGGCACTCACAATCCTTGCACTCGGCAATGGGCACACAGTTGGCTCCCTTGCGAACAGTGCCCTCGGGACAGTAGCAGCCAGGGAAGCAGGCATCCGGCAGCAGTGGACAATCATCGCCGTGCAGACTGTCACAGGATGGTTCACAGCGTCGCTTATAGCAATCCGTGTGCACCAAGGGCGCCGGACAGCTGCTCTCGCACTGATGCACCGCTCGCCATGTTGTCAGCTGCGCCAGCGGATTCACACTCAGGCATTTCTTCACAAAACTCTCCAGGATGTTACACTTGCAGGCGCTGGCATCGCCATTGTTGGCCAGCAGGCAATCGCAGGCTGCTTCCAGGCAGTAATTGTTCGAGAACTGCTTATAGTTGACTGCCTTGTGGCACTTGGCGAATGTCGGATGACTGCGGAGAAGCAACAGCAAAGAATTTTATTTTTAAATATTAGTTGCGACAAAGTTAATGCAGTTACATAAATTTCGAACTCAAACCAGGTTTTCAGCTTTAAATTTAGAAATGCGATTTGGTTATCACTAACTGATCAATAATATTAATAAGTTAAGAAATAGCTTTAACTTTAATCAAAAACTTACTTGATAGTATTACACAGTTGCAGAGCCTTCACCTGCAGTTGTCTGGTGCACTTCTGATCCCCGCACTGATCCAGCGGCAAGCGTTTGTCGTACCAACTGTTGCCGAACTTCTCAGTATTGGCCAAAACTTGGCCATCGGGTGTGCGCTTGTCATCGCGGGGATTGCCATTGTAATAGCCACAGAGGCCATCCACGGTGCGTAGAAACTTGGAAGATATGCCGACCTTGAGAATGCCGATGTCATCCAATTGCACCCAGAAGCCGTATTTGGTGGACACCGCGAGCAGCGTCTTGCCTGGCTGCGAGACTACAAACGAAGCCTTACAAATGGGCGAATTGATGAGCTGCGCCACGGTGAAGTCGAAGCCATTGAATTTCAGCTTAAGATGCGGCAGCAGAATCAACTCATTGCCCGCCTGCAGATCCTTGATGGTGACAATCTTGTGGCATACCTTGTGCGTCTCATCGGTACACTGCTGATGCACTGCAACACAGAAGATGAATAAAATAGTAATATAAATATTACAGTATCAGTTATTGGTATATAATAAATAAAGGTAATTACCCGATATGATCCAGCTTCCATTGTGTATATCTCTGGCTAGGATATGACTGCAGGGACTATATTTAAAGACAGTTCCATCAAAGGTGGTGAAACTCTTTCCACTAATCTCGCACACATCATCCTTATTGGGTCGCAGAATGCAGGTGTATTTGAGACAGTCTCCAGCCTTGGCTGTGCTCATGTCAAGTTCCACATCGTACTTCTCTGGGCACTTGGGCTCCACACAGGTGATTGATTCATTTTTGTTCACCACCTTGGTAGGTATTGGCACACAGGTGAACTCACTGCAGTCCTCCTCCTCCTGGTAGTTCAGCTCGTTCTGGGGCATGGACAAAATTTGCTCATTGGATGATACAAATTTGGTTTTCTTGATGCTAACGCCATCATCCACAATCGACACTTGTTTGTGGAATGTGAAGATTTTGGACATTTTGCGTGCCTTCTTCTCAATGATTTTGATTTTCATTTGAGGTGGACAAACGGGCGCAGGACAGGTTAGGACAGTTGCTAATAACAGATTATATATAAATATTAAATGCAATATTTAATTAAATTAATTCTCTCTCTCTCGCTTACTTTCATTCTTCTGGCGATTGATTTCCGGTTCCACAGTAAACGAATCCCGACAGCTGGCATCTTCATCGTCTGTACAATCCTGCACGCCATTGCACCACAGCACCTCTGGTATACAATCGCCACTGGAGGGGCATAGACGTTGATGTTTGGGGCACGGTTCGCACTTGCAGAAGCAATCGCTGGTTATGACCGGTCGCAGTTCTTTTCCCTCGCACGGTGCACACTTCTTGGGCTTGCAATTGTGACGACCGCCCAGAACACAGACGCACTCCTCACACTCAGCATTCTCAAATTTGCTGCCAATCGGATAGCTGACATAGTTCTCCACACAGGGACACAGATTGCGTTGCACACAACTGTTGCCATCCCAGTAGAGCTGATCGCTGCACTGGCACTTGGCATCAGGATTGCCACTAGCAATGCCCTCGCATATGTTGCACTTGGTGTGATCTAGGGTCTCTTCACGAATCTCCTCCTTTATCACAGCTGTGGATTATATTTATTTTTAATTTCAAGTTTATATAATAATATATAGCATAAAGAAATAATTAACTTACGATATGGTAAAAAGCAGCCCAATGGCTCGATACGCATGTTGATATTGCGTTGCCACTTTACCGGCACCAGTTTCAGATACTGTGTGAGAATGGGTGTCTTGAAGTGATGCGTACGTGGCGTATGGTCATCCACATTCGCCTCGAAGACGCGTGGCTGGCCGTTGGGGGCGAGGACAGTGTTCCAGGTAGGCTTCCTCTTTGTGAACATTATCTTGTAACCCGTCACCCAGCCATCTGAGCCGCCTTTGGTTATAAAGCCGGAAACATTGCGTGGCTCCAGGAAATCAAATTCAACAAACTCGTTGGGCGTATTGGCAAGTGGTCGCCATGCCTGTGGCGTCGAAATCTTGAGCAGGTCAAGTAGACGTGGTTTTCTTACAGATTGCGACAGCTGCCGCACACTGCTCGCCTGTAGCTGTTGCTCGTACATCAGACCCTTATCCACGCCCAATTCATCCATGCACTCCAGCTCCAAATTGTACTGAGGATGCTCAGTGGTTGTGGGCAACGTGGGTGGCTGTGTGACAAGCGGTAAATCACCACAAATCAACAGTTCCACTCGCATTGCAATCGATCCATGCCACTTCAATGGATAAATTCTCAATGAGCTGGCCTCAATAGGTATCTTGAAAAGGGTTTGAACCGGTTCTCGCGAGTCCAGCGGTCCATTAAACATTTGCGGCTTGTCCGTCTCATCAACCAGATAATTATAAGCGATTCCGTCATGGCTATGCAAAATCTATAATATATACAACTATTTAGTACCTTCGATTTATATCTAAACATTACTTTAGACACGCTATAATACCTTAAAGAGTGTCACATAATTATTGAACTCTGGACTGCCAGCCATGATGACACCATAGATGGGCTCTGGAGTTCCAAAGTTCAGCTCTAGATACTGCATCTGATCGTTGATCTGAGGTGACCAGCTTCCACTGCCAGGTGATGGTTTCTTAAGCAAACGCGCCTTGGACGGCGCATGTTCCGGTGCCAGTTTGGAGCTGGCATTGAAAATGCTGTCGGGCAATGAATTTGGTCCATTTTCAATCATGGGCGTGAGACTGTTGAAACCAATATATTAAGTGAGAAAATATATCAAACGGGAACAAATATTGACAACTTACCGTTCGGGTGCGCAGAGCGGCGGTGGCGTCAGAATATTTGGAATAGTAGGTAAGATTGGCTCATTGGATACTGTAAGATACAAAAATGGAGTATTATGTAAATAAATGTAATATGAAATGTACACATAACATACACAATTGCTTGATTTGGACAGCGCTCTGCCTTAACTTGAATTTACCCTGTATGAAAACCTGACCACATTATAAAGCTGCAATAGGAGCTTTGAATATTATATAAAGCTTGTATGAGATTTAACACATTCTAACCTAATGTAAAACTTTAAGTTGTGTTTGTTGTGTCCTGGCCAAGATTCCATTTACACCCTTTTAAGATATATTTGAATAAATAACGTTTCTATGTTTGACCAATAAAGAGTTTTTCTATGCTCCTTGAACTTAGATAAAAATTAATTTACGTTCAATTAAACAAAAATTAAGTTAAGAAAATTGTGATGAGAGGCTTAGACCAAGGGTTAAAAGTTAATTTAAAGCTGGCAATACTTTCTTGTATGCTGTAGTTCAACTTGTACTTACTGGGCTCATACGGTGGTGTTGGCGCCGGCTTGTTGGGCACACAGGTGAATGCATTGTCAATGCACTGGCATATCTCGAGTTCACCCACCACAGGCCTGTGGGGCTGCACATACTGTTCCGCTTTGTCCATGCAGGGGCATTCATCCGCATGCACACAGGTATTCGCGTCGCGCCAATATTTGCCCAGCTTTTGGCAATCCGGACGCAGTTTATCCACACAGCCGGGCTTGCAGTGTTCACCCTTCAGGCAGAGGCCACGCTTGCGCAAAATGCTGCCGAAGTAGTGGCAGGTGTTCTCACACTGATTGGCACATTCAGACCATACCTGGTTGTCGTCGCACTGCTTGATCTCCAGCTCGAGATCAGGCTTTGGCTTGCCACAGCTCGGTATCAGCTCCTGTACAATGGCAATGTGATCGCAATTGAACATGATGGGATTGAACATCATGAACTCGCCACAAGTCTTCTCCACATAGATCCAGCCACCATCGACACTCTTGGGCTGGCAATGCAGGAACTTGTGACAATCACCCGGATACTCCTTATATTCAACAACGCCGACATCACAACTGTGTCCGATTTGTGGCTTTTCGGTGGGCTGGGGAGGCAGTGTCTCCGGCTCCGCATCGCATTGGCAAAAGACGCGTAACTCGTAGTCGTGGCACTTGCCAATGCAACGCAATCCCTCTGACAAACTGCACGCGACATTCTCATCCATTTGCTCGGGCGGCTCATGTGACTGTTTGACACGACACTCCACCTTGGTCATGAACTGTTTCAGACAGGTGCCATAGATGCTCTCCATGCGATCATAGCGGGGCAGCTTCTCCTCATCGTTCAGTCGAACTATCTTCTCCGAGGTATCCGCATCGTTGTCGAACCAACGCGTCCAGCCACGAACACACTTGGTTTGATTCTGTGTGGCCAGTGGTATTTCTGTGGTGCCTTGAACATTCGGTTTTGGCGTTAGAATTGGCACTGGTACATCACACCTGACGCCGCTGCAGATTTCCTTGCGCTTCGAGCAGCGACATGTGGCACAGTCATCCTGGAACGTAATATCACCTTCGTAATACGTTTTTCCATCCTTCATCATGCAGATGGGCTTGCATTCCGCCTTAGGCACACACTCGCGATACGTATCATTCAAATAGATGAAGCCATCATCGCAGGGCTTAATGTGACAGCCCTCGATGCAGTTCTCACGATTGCACATCCTCTCCGCAATGCCCTGATCCAGGAAGTTGTCACAAGTCTCCACGGCACAAGCGGGTGTGCAGGACTTGTAATCCGAGCAGTGTGGATCGCATTGCATTGCTGTTAAATAAATATATATATAAATTAATATAATCTATCATAATAGTAACAAATTAAAATGGTTTACTTACGACAGAAATGTTGGGATCTCCAGCGGATATTGATGCCCTTCTGGGCGCAGGCATCTGCATAAGCAGCGACCGCTGTGCAGAGGCATTCACAATCGCCGCCCTGATCGCAGGCACACGTATCGAAGATGCAGCGCTTCAGATAGCGCTCCAGCGGCACCTCGGCATGACAGGGCACGAAAAGCTCAGACTTCAAGGCGCCACATTTGATTTGTGCCCATGTCTCACGCTCCGGATGCTGGCGACAGGCATCGATTGGTGCCACAGGCGCAGCGCAATGTGGCTGCAGTTTCCAGGAATGTCCAAACATCAAAGCACTCGTCTCCAATCCCAAGGACGGCGTCTGCATGTCATCCAAGCCATTGCCATTGTAGTTGCCGCACAGGCCGGTGACTTTGTTGCGCCAATCGTTGCCCAGCTTGACATAGACTCGGGTGCCTTCATCCCATTTGACTTGCAACTTGAGGGGTATCACTTCGACAACAACATAAACACCTGCCTTGTAAATGTGGAAGGCGTTGTGGCCCTTGGAATTGACGCTATCGCGTAGTTCTAGTTAAAAAAATAAATAAATTATTGTTTTAAAAATATATCGATCAAATGCCATTAACAAAAACACATATTCTGTGAAAGTTTGTTACTCACTTTTAATTGGCGACGTATTGGGATCAACGCTATATGTGGCATCAGCACTGAGCACCAGCGATTCCTGCACACGTCCACTCAAAGAAATTTCCAGAGATTTGGAGCAGGTGACACCCATTGTACCGCAGAGCACATTTTGAATGGTAATACTAAATCCATCGCCATTCTCAGCAATACCCTTGGAGAGGACATAATCGCAGGCGCCTTGGAAATCAAAGTCATGACCATCGTAGGTGGTGAAATGTGAGTCGCCCCACACGCTGCACGTCGACTCGCAGCCATTGTCGGAGCACTTCCAATTGCCCGATTGGCAAACACAGGAATTGCAATCCTCCTTGATCTTCTCGCCATCATCGTAGCTTTTGCCAGCATGATGACAGGAGCAGTTTGTGGGGAGGACGCACGTCTCACGAGAGGTGTCATATACATAGCCCGCCATGCACACACAGCCCGGCAGACAGTCCATCGTTTCGGCCACATACTTATCCATGTTCTTACATGTTTTGGGCTCCTTTGGTGCACACTTGGTAAACTCGGCGAAAGGTTGTTTTGAGCATTTGGTGCGCAATTCCGACGATGGTGGATATTTAAGATCATCACCCGGATCGGCATCCTGACAATCCCAGACGCCATCTGTGCAGGTGCATAGATCAAGGAATTTGCCACCGGGACGCACTTCCTTATAGCCCGGCCGGAAGATCATGCCATCGAAGGTGCACTGGCACTTCTGCTTGGGCACACAAACACCCTCATCATTTACGTACTCGCCATGTGGACAGCGACAACCTTCGACACACTCCCGCGTGCAGCTGTTCTTGCCGGGCAGATCATCACAAGTCAAAGCGCAGCCATCGCCACATTCATCATACACCTGACCCATGGGACACTTGTCAGCTAAAGGGCAATTGTGGTTAAATAACATAAGCCATAATTTATATTATGGATTAATTGTTACTCACCGCACTCCTTGACGGTCATCCGCCAGCCAGTTTTGATGCCCTGTCGCATGCATTCCGTGCCATAGGCGGATAGTATAGGACAATAGCATTTGTCGAGATCACCCTTGCAGGCGCAAGTATCGTATAGGCAGTCCTCATAGTATTGTTCCGGCTCCACCATGAAGTGGCATTCTTGGAAAATGTCCTGCAATATCCAGTCGCAGTATTTCTCCGCCATCACCTTCTTTTCGGCATTCATGGTGCAGGGATGCGGGCCCTGATGGGTTTCCGCTTGGAACTGGCAGGTGTCCTTGGTGCGCCACTTGTCCGCAAAGGCTTCCACAGCCGTTTCCACATCGCCCTCCGGTGTAAGGAAGTCATCCTGCGTATTGGAATTGAAGGTGCCGCACAAGCCTTGCGTCTTGCCACGCCAACTGGCCGGTGCATCGATGTAGACACGCGAGACGCCATCCCACCAGATACGTATGCCACCGGCAAACTCAACGGTCAAAAATGTGGAACTGGCACGTCGTATCAACACCTCACCAGCGCCAAGCACCTTGGGCAGTTTGGCAATGGGTTTGTCATTGACGACAGTGGTCAATCCCTGGTCCAGTTTCATTGTGGTCGGTGTTCCATCGCGCTGCAAGAAGCGTACGGTTACACTCTTGGTGCATGACGGATCATCCGGAGCGGCATAGTTTAGGGCATCCGATATGGCGCCCGAGCAGGCAACATTCTCCGCCTCCACCGACATATTGTCCGTCTTGAGCATATAGTAGGAGCACTTGCCCATGAAATCATAGCGTTTGCCATCGAAAGTCTGGTAATGAGGATCACCAATAGCACCGCAACGGGCACCACACTTATTATCGGAGCACTTCCATTTGCCATTCTTGCAGGTGCACGTATTACAGTTCTTCTTCACTGTCGCCTCCGGCTTGAATTCGCGTCCACTCAGGGTGCAGGGACACAGCTCCTGTGTAATGCACGCATCCTTGTATTGCACGGTTCCCTCGGGACAGTAGCAGCCCTCATTGCATTTGCCTTTTGTTGGGGCAGCGGATGTAAAATCCGAATCGCATGTTGGCTCCACATCCGGTCCACAGGCGCGATAGACGCGTCCAAAGCCGCAGCTAATTGCTGTTGGCGATAATCAAAAATTTAAAGTGGATCAAAGCTTGATTTGAATGATTTGATTTGTAATTGTGACTTGGTCTTTAACTTTGTTTAATTATATTCAATTATAATAATCCAAAATGTAAAGTGGATCAAAACTTTAATTGGCTTAATGTTTTTGTAATTGTGAGTTAAGCTTTGACTTCGTTTTATTATATATAATTTTGATATAGCTGGATATTTATAAATTTGTCATAAGCTAAGAATTGGATTTTCTTTTAGGTACTCACGACATATTTCGAGATTCCGCCAGCCATGCTCCAATTGAATACCCTTGAACATGCACTCCTTGGCCAGCATGGAGACGGCATCGCAATTGCAACTTTCGGGATGCTCGCGATTAGGACAGTTGCAGTAGTCGGATATGCAGGTGCGGATGAGGGCATCGTAATTGAAGGACTTGGTGCAGTCGCTCAGCTTTTCGTTGGCCAGCAGACGCTCACAGATGCCGACAGCCTTTTGAAGTTTGCTCTGCTCGCAGGACTCCATGCCAAATTCCATTTCGGCACTGTTCTCAACGCGGCACATTTCATTGCTGTCATCCACACGCCAGGCATCGGCGAATGCTTTAACTGTTTCCAGTTTCTTGCCCGTTCTGGACATCAGGTCATTGGTGTAATCACCATCCAGTGAGCCACACAGACCACCCACTTTGCCCCACATGGCGGGGCCGGCATGCACGGCCACATATTGATGATGATCCCAGTCCAGTTTGAGTCCAATCGATTCCAGATCAATTTGCACATGTTGTGCCACTGGCATCACCTTCATGCCCATCACCTGCACCGGTATGGGCAGCTGTTTGGTGGGCGTCGACATCCGCATTGTGCCATCTAAGCAACAAATTTGTAAAAATACACACTATGAGCTCTTATTCTACTTACTCAAATTCTCCAGAGTATATAGAACTGATTGCCATTGAATCTTTAAAGTGTGCGCACAACCATATCCAGAACCATAAGGACAGGCCTTGAGTGTAACATCAAATATTGCCGTATCTTTGTCCATGATCAATGTGTGCGAACACGATAAAGGTGCTCTGTAAACACACAAGAAAAATTACAAATATTTTAAGAGTCGCGCCTAAATTTAGCTCGAGCGTTAGTTATCGATGCCAAGTGTAGCCATCGAAATGTACTCGTTTACTGCAGTTATCGATAACATACTTGAAAACCAAACCGTCAAATGTTTTGATATTAATGCCGCCCCAAGTGGTGCACAGCGCCGGTCTTGGCGATTTATCAAGCACAACATCAACGTCGCTGCTCATGTAAAGGGAATAGCTGCCCAGAGTCGTCGATGTTTCCTCCGACGACCACCATTCCTGCACAGCAATAATTAGCAACAATTTCTTTATTCATTCCATAGATTTCAACTTACGCTCCTTCGCTCAAAATCGCGATACTTGGCTAACAGTGCTAGCAGAATCTCACGTTGGCTCCTAAGCTCTGTGGAATGGCTACCGCCACTGAAGGAACCATGATATGTGTGTCCTTCCTGTTGCACATGTGTTAATTGTACTCTACTCGATTTCACTGAATATCCCTTTGCTGTTAAGTTGCCAAAAGTATTTACGTAAGCAAAACATCAAAAATTACTCGTTAGAAGATACTTACGAAAAATGCATTTTGGTACTGGCGCTGGCAAGTAGACACCCTGACCATATTTGCATTTGTATTCAATATCCAAGCTCCCTTGCACCTTCAGTCCGGGCACCTCGGGACAGGTAAATTTGCAACGTGCCTCTTCCGTGTCATAGGCACATTTATAATTGCCATTGAAGCCGGCATTCGTCACATTACAACTTGAAATGCCTACATATATGATATTTACATGTTAAGAAGCTTAACTTGTGGTCTTGACTGCTACTCACTGTGTTGGCAGAAGGCACCACGATTAAACTTGGAGCACTGACAGATATTGAAGCTGATGCATTGGCCGCCATTTTGGCAGGCAGGCGAACAGGTCGCTATAAAATTCAAGGTTAACTAAATGCTTTAGAGTGCTTTGATTTCGACTTACGTCCACAATCTGGCACCTTGGTCAGGCCGGAATTGGTGTGCACCCACTGGCCATTGAGGCACTTAATGTTCGTAATGCCAGTGCCATCGGGAAACTGAAAACCCCTCATGCATTCCGCATTGCAAACGCTTCCAGACGCAATTTTAAGTGAATTTGTTAAAGGATTAATCATTTACGTAAGCAAATCATTTGTATTGGTGATATTTAAATATTATTTCATCCAAATTTTGGTATATACAAAAATGATTATTATAGACTAAGAAAAGTTGAATGAACCTGGATACTTTTTTAAATTTGCAACCAAAACGCTTATCTCTAAAATGTTAGTTAAAAAAAATAAAAATTGTACGATTAGAAATTCTCCGGAAACTCTACAAAATGGAATCAAAATTATTATGCTCCAGTTTTAAGCTGAATATTGTTTTGCCAATAAAATATTAGATGGATTTATAAATTAATAAATGTAATGAACTTGTTCTTAAACATATTTGAAAAGTTTTGGATGACAAGAGCACTTTCCTACTTTCATACCCATTTAATATTCTAGCCAACTTATTTTCAACTCTGAAAACTTACTTGTTCTTGCAGGACATTTTGGAGTTCTTTGGCACCGGTGGTTTGGCGGCACACACAGACCTCTTGTGCTGGCAGAGCGGACCCGAGTAGTTCTCGGGGCACTGACATACGCCACTCGCTAGGCAGATGCCATTGTTCTGGCATGGTGGCAGGCATGTGGCCTGGCAAGGGGGCACTCTGGTATACTCCGAATTGCGTATGATCCAACCATCATTGCTGCAGAACAGATCTAGCGATTTGGTGTCCTGCGAGAAGGAATAACCATCCGGGCAGAAAACGTTACAGCGACCATGGCCATCGCACTGGGACTGCACATTTTGAGGCAGTGTAAGTGAGGAGCACCTTCCATACGCTCTCAATTGATGCACAGTATTGCCGTAAAAATTGCCCTTGACGCTGAGATGATTTTGCGTTTAAATTTAAATATAGCACTTAAAATATGATCAAATATTACCCTTTGCCGATGCCAAGCAAGTTGAATGCACTGTTCATCAAGTGTGAGCTAAATGAATAGTTTAACCATTGAAATATTTAAGTAAACTATGTTTTTTATATAATGCTCACCCAGATGTCTTAACACCGCTCGTATATAAGCCATGAGCTCCACCATGTCCAACATGAGCTCCACCATGTCCTCCATCACTATAACTGTAGCTATATTTCGCACTACAGGATATCGAGTTTTATATACAATCAAATTTACTTTAATTTTTACACATACCTCGTAGCGGGTGCTGAACCCAACCTAAAACTTAAATGGCGCTCATCACGTTGCTTATCATCAGCCACATCCGGTGGGGCCTGAACCAGGGGACTATCAAATAGCAAATATTTTTGCCAAGTGGCATAGCATTAGATAACGCCAAATGGGATGTAGAGAATAGTTTAGAACTGCCAATTATAACTATATAAATAGCACACTTGATATCTCACTTTTATATAATTTGCAATTCATTTCGAGTATAATGCTTTTTATCACAAATATAAAAAACCAAGTTGGAAGTTTAAGAAATTTTACATCCTTTTAAATGTTGTATTAGTTTGGAGAATATTTCATAAGTAGATATTGAATTATGTAAAAATAGTCTACAACTGCAAACTTTAGTTTTATAAATAAATCACATGAATGCCTCACTTTTTTATTACAGATTTCGAGTATAATACTTTTTTCACATCTTTAAAGTGTAAGTTTGAGAAATTTTACAGCCTTTTTATTGTTATTTCCAAATTGGGGAATATATCATAAGAAGATATTAGATTATGTAAAAAGGGCAAACTTATTTTTAGCCACATATTATATTCATTTTTCGGGTCACAATTTATGTCACATTGTAATAAATTTGATTGGATAACTTTGCAATTTTTCACTCACTCAATACTTAGATCATCATCGTCCGACATGACGATATCGCCATCTTCGGCACAGACATGACTGAAAATAATAAGCAGCCCTGCCAAAAAGTATAAATTTTTATTTGCCATTTTGTTTGCCGGCAAATAATGCTCTTTGTCCTATCACAGCCGATGCATATATACAATTTTATTTTTCACTGGTAATCCGTGCTGCGCTTGAGTATTTCAAATACCAAGTAGCAATTGTCCTGTGGATGCTTCCGATCCACTTCACAAATAAGAACACTGTTCACAGTATAGTTGATTTATTCACTTTAAACAGATCCACAATTAATATCCAAATGTCGAGGCGACCGACGCGAACGCAACTAATTTCGCTGTGGAACCCAAGCGCCTTTTATAGGCCTGAAACTGATGCCAGTCGCCATATTGTTTGTGGTCTTATCTCAGTTCCCGTGCTGCCCAAAGTCAACGTCAAATGTGTGCTCGTTTTAAATTCACTTTTTTCTAGTCTTATCGTCTTAAAAAATGTGCCAAGTTTAGCCAGAGAGTGCAGTTTAGTAGCTTGGGTAGCGATAATTGCGTTTCTCACTCGCAATGATATTATGAAACTGAAACCAAATGAATATTCCAAGGCTGTAAATATATAAAAATAAGTTATAAATGAGGAAATCATAAATTACGTCGCCAATTGGCTTATCACACTCAAAGCAAATCATGAATGGGGGCTCCCAATGAACTTGAAAAGCGCGGCTATTTGCTTCTGTAACGGCAATATATGTCATTATTTTCGATAAAAGCGATGCGTATCGATTTTAAGCGATAGTACGCAGTGCAGTGCTGCCCATAAATGTGCATATAATAATTGAAATATGGCCACCCGTCGGAATTCAAAATGGTTTACTAAGAAAAAAATTAAATTGTGCATTTTATTGATATATTTTTTATATTTATATCAAACATAGTGGTAAAACTAATGTACACCGTGTGCAGCGCATTTGAAAAGTGAAACAATTATTTATCACAGGAAATCATGTGGGCGTCGGCGGAAAAAACTTATTTTTGCAAATGGATTTTGATAAAGAAATTGCCAAAGATATAACTAAAATGTATTTTATAGTAATTATGTAGATAGCTGCTGCTACTGCTGCCGTTGCTGCTCCATGTAGGGATCAATATCTTGTTGCTGACGCATAGCTTCTGTTTCAGCGCCGATGGCGCAGGCCAGCAAAGAATTAACCGTTTGCTCCTCGCCAGCCTTGTACACATAGCCATTGGCCTTGTCGATATGATTTCGGAGTCGGAGCATGCTGTCCGTGCTGAAGGCATCGAGCAGCTTGAAGGAGACAAGTGCATAATCCTCCACCATGGAGCAAATGGCTTCGTTGAGTTTCTGATATTTGCGCATCGCTGGATCATCGCCCAGTTTCTCCAGCAAATACTTCAGATCCAGTACATCCGTATAGTAGTCCACGCTAAAGTGCAGCTTTGTCTCGTGCTTGCGCAGCAGATCCGCCTTGGACAACACATTGATATGGGGCAAACTCATACGCATCATCGTATTTAGGGCCATCAGCAGCGTGGCAATGAACTTCGCCGGCTCCGAGCAGTAGTGCGAATCGATGAGGTTCACCGTGACCAGGTTGTAGCGTTCCCCCTCCAAGCGCTCAAAGACACGCGCCATGGCATTGTGATGAGTGTACAGCTCCACCTGACCCGGGCAATCGAAGAGGAAATAATTGTGGGTAGCGCTCAATTTGCGCAGCGCCGGCAGCAGCCAATCCTCGAAATGCTGCTCTAGATACTCTGCACAGTGCATCAGCGCCCCATTTGGTCCCAGCTGCAGGTGCTCCATGCAGTCCTCCACTGTGATCAGCTCCATGACGTTTATCACCGGCTCGTAGGCCATGTTGTCGTTGCCCGGATCCAAATTGACGACGCCCACTTGTCGGCCCAGTTCCCGATAGAATTTGTATGCCTCGTTGCAGTATGTGGTCTTGCCAGAGCCAGGCGGACCAATAATTAATTGTCCATAACGTGGATTTTCCACTCGCGGCTGAACGCGCTGCAGCATTTTTTACTTTTGTTTATGATATTGTACTAGTGTGACCGTGCGCGATATTCCAAAAATTTACTAAAAGGCCCAACTGAAAATACTAACAGATTCGGACAGCAGTCGCCTGTTGTTAACAGAAGCATATGGTTACATTAAAAAGTGAATGTCTTGAAAACATAAATCTTCGAGGTTTTTTTGGCCCCAAATGTTGATAAATTCAAATGTTATTGTGTATTTAGTTTGATTTATTTACAGCTAAGCATTTGATGTAGCAGAAATGTTAAGCCAGTCGGAAGCTATTAGACTCACATCCTTTATTATTTTATATTAATGTTCATCACATGCCGCCAAAAGCATTTCATTTATAATTTTTTGTAATGCAACAACAGGTATTTAAGTGAGCGCTCAATGTTAATAACATTGAGGGGTGCGATGTTAAGCGCTGGCCGCTGCTGCTGAACATAACAACAAATTGATGCGCCAACCCTGGTAGCGTACAGTGCTTGTGCGGGTGTTTTTACGCTAAATTGAATAAATTTCTATTTAATACGAGGGCACTTAGAATTCTAAAACCACTAGAGAGTTAATAATGGCGCAACCACAACAACCGGCCTACGAAAACAGTGAGTTTTGATTCGCAACCACAATTACCATAAGAGTGAAAGCGACGCGAAAAAAAATACATATGAGTCAACCAAGAACGGTAAAAACAGCGGAAATGCTTTTTGATATGACCATAAATGGAATTTGTGTGAAACGACAACAACAAAAGCAGCGCAGTCGACGACAAACACACTTCAGATAAACAATAGAGTGTGGGTGAGGGAGGGTCAGAGGGGATATCCCTTAATTCCTGTTGAAAACATATTTAGCCGGCTAAAACCGCCGCCGACCGCACCCTGTTTTTTTCATGTTTTTTTTTATCTGCCTCTTTTGACAAAGTTGTTGATTTAACCAATTTTGGATTTGTTTTTTTTTTTTTGTAATTATTGCAGAAAATGTGTATGCAACATTGCCGCGCACTCAACGTGGCCAGCCAATTGTTTTGGGCTCGGACCCGAAGGGCAAGAACTTTCTCTACACCAATGGAAACTCGGTGATAATCCGCAATATCGAGGTGAGTCCTACATTTTCCATATATGTCTATAAAAAGACTATCAAACAAAATATGAGCCGTTTGCTCCAAAAAAGAATAGAAAAGAAAAAGGCGAATAAATGGTTTTATTTTTGGACGGCAGCTGCAATTTTCTCAAGCGTTATTTTCCACTCGTCATCTATGTGTATGTGTGTGTGTGTGTGTGTGTTGGCTGTTCTATATTTATTTAGATATATATATGTATATACAGCAAACAGCCGGCAACACACATACCTTCCCACAAACAGAGAAATTGTCTTTCTCTTATTTTTTTGCCGCCCACGCAATGTGTATATACATATATTTATGTGTGTGTCTTGTCCATAACAAACCTGCGTGTAAATATGATTTTTTAATTAATTTGTTGCAACTTTTTCGTTTTGGCTTTGCGCTTTTCTTTCAAATATTGCGAACGTCGCGCTCCGATTAACGTGGTCGCCTGTTGCCATACCCAGAATCCAGCGATTGCCGATGTCTACACGGAACACTCGTGTGCAGTGAATGTGGCCAAGTATTCGCCCAGCGGCTTCTATATTGCATCCGGCGGTAAGTTAACCAATGCACTCACCTGTAAATAGAAGCCCTTCAAAAGAAAAAACCCCCCACAATAATCATGGGCATGACTCACGTCAACTGACAATTACCATAAAGTGGGCGAATTTGAAACCCATAAAATATAAATATCACTTTAATTTCACATTTTTTGAGCAGCAGCTCTACTTTTTTTTTTTTGCCATGTTATCTGGTTCTTATTATCGCTTATTAAAAAACATTGCATCTTATCTTTACCATCGTATCTACCGGAAAATTGAACCAAAAATGTGTTAACTTGCTAGGTATTTTTGTTTCTTATTTTTAATAAATTTCTTACTTGTTAATCATGTCAAAAATCATTAAAAATATCTTTAAAAATTCAATTAAATAATAATCAAAAAGATAACCATTTTTTGTATATATGTAAGTATTAAATGTTTGTATATATTTGTTTTAAATTCAGCAATGCTTAAAACTCAGTTCATTTTGGTATTTAATAAATAATCAATTTCATTCATATTTCATACAATTGCTGCTTGATATTTAATCAATTTTCTTACTTCCCCACAGATGCCTCTGGAAAGATTCGCATTTGGGATACGGTTAACAAGGAGCATTTGCTGAAGAATGAATTCCAGCCGATTGCAGGACCCATCAAGGACATCAGCTGGTCAGCGGACAATCAGCGCATGGTGGCCGTCGGCGAGGGACGCGAACGTTTTGGCCATGTTTTCATGACGGAAACTGGCACATCTGTGGGCGAAATCAGTGGCCAATCCAAACCCATCAATTCGGCGGACTTTAGGCCAGCCAGACCCTTTCGCATAGTGACCGGTGAGTGGAAATATCGACTTGTATCTGACCTGGTAACTAATCTATGGCATTGCAGGCAGCGAGGACAACACGATTGCCGTCTTCGAGGGTCCGCCGTTCAAGTTCAAAATGACCAAGCAAGATCACTCGCGATTTGTGCAAGCCGTGCGCTATTCGCCCGACGGCAAATTGTTTGCCTCGGCGGGCTTCGATGGTAAGGTGTTCCTGTATGACGGCACCAGCTCGGATCTGGTGGGTGAATTTGGTTCACCGGCGCACAAGGGTGGCGTCTATGCGGTCGCCTGGAAGCCAGATGGCACTCAGCTGTTGACCTGCTCCGGTGACAAGACCTGCCGCCTGTGGCAGGTTGAGTCCCGTGAGCTGATCAGTGAATTTGTAATGGGCACCACTGTGGATGATCAGCAGGTGTCGTGCCTGTGGCAGGGAGAGCATCTGTTGACCGTCTCCCTGTCCGGTATCATTACCTATCTGAATGTGGAGGATCCCAGCAAGCCACTGCGAGTGGTCAAGGGACACAATAAGCCAATTACTGTGCTGGGCCTGAGCGATGATCGCAGCACTATTTACACTGGCAGCCACGACGGCATTGTAACCAACTGGAATTCTGGCAACGGTGTCAACGATCGCATCACTGGCACTGGTCATGGCAATCAGATCAACGGCATTGCTGCCTGGGATGAGTTTGTCTACACCTGCGGCATCGATGATAGTCTGCGCCAATTCAGTGTCGAGGGCAACTGCTATACGGATTACGTGGTCAAGCTCAACTGTCAGCCACGCGGCTTGGCCATCTTGCGCAACGAGAACATCATTGCATTGGCCTGCATTAAGGAGCTAACATTGGTGCAGGATCAGAAGAAGATATTCTCGCTGCCCATCAAATACGAGGCCAGCTCCATAGCGGCCAATGCGGAAACCTTGGACGTGGCTGTTGGCGGTGATGATCAGAAGCTGCACATCTATTCGCTCAAGGGTAGCACTCTCGAGCTAAAGACCGAACTGGAGCATCTGGGCGCTGTCACCGATGTCGCCTATTCACCGGATCAAAAGTATTTGGTTGCCTGCGATGCTCATCGCAAGGTGGTCCTTTACTCGGTGGAGGAATATAAGGTAGGGGGCGATATAGATAATAAAACAATAATACCCATCGAATGTATTATCAATTCGAAAGTTATTTATGTTGCTGTTATCTTATCAATGTTGTTTGTTGTTGCCATATTTCAGCCGGCCCACAACAAGGAATGGGGCTTCCATAATGCACGTGTCAACACTGTCGCCTGGTCTCCGAACTCGCTGCTGGTGGCCAGCGGTTCCCTTGATACCACCATTATCATTTGGTCTGTGACCAATCCAGCCAAGCACACCATCATCAAGAGTAAGCTAAAGTTAACTTTTCAACCTAATTATCAATTAACCATGACTAATCTCGATTCATTAGATGCGCATCCACAATCGCAAATTACGCGCCTCGTGTGGCTGGATAACAATACTGTGATCTCCACTGGTCAGGATTGTAATACCAAAGTCTGGCATGTGGAAACTATTTAGAAAAACAATTAAAATAAAAAAGCAAAAAGTATGCCAAAAGGAAAAATGAACAACGAGAAGAACAGCGCAGCCAGCGCATATTTTTATACTTATTCAGAGAGAAGAAAAAGAAGGAAAGCGCAGACAGATCCGTTTAAATCCGATGTAAAATTGCCAAGCTGCTATTATTCGCTGCGACATCAGCTTCATTTCATTTAAGTGCAACAGTTTATTTACATTTAGATATTTATATAACGCACTCATTATGTCCCTTTAGTTTAAGCTCAAATGTGTTTTTGCTAATCATATCATGGATACAGCTATTCTATTTGCATCATTTTATATATATATATTTAATAACTATGAAAATACTTGCGAGTTTGTGCCGCCAATTCGACTTCATTATGCTTGAATGTGTTTTTTAACAACAACAACTTTTTTTGGATACTTATACAACTGAACTACAGTTTAAACAATACTATACATATGTATAAAGTGCGCCTGCGTACGTAAATTATTGTATTATGAAATGAAATAAAATAGTTTTTGCATAAAAAAAAATTCATAATACGTTTTGTATTTTGTGGCTTAATATTTATTTTTGATCTTGGTTTTTTTATAGGTCTTTTGTGACCTTGTCTTTTTGTGTGCATGTGTGTGCGTGTGTGTTTTTTTTCTTGTGTATAATTATAATATTTATAAAAATTGCTCTTAATTTATTAGAATGTGTAGGCGTGTGTGTGTGTGTATATGTGTGTGAGTTGTGTTTGGTTTTGCAGAAGGTATTTTGAAAGCCTCGCAGTTACAGTTTGGGATAGCTTGAGTGCACTCAGTGCTACTAAAACTGTTTTGCTCATGTCACTCACAGAACGGTGACGGTTGAGTTGCCACCTCTCGCGACTTATCGAAGCGACGTATCGATAAGTGAATGCGAAACTCTAACAAATGGCGCTAAAATTAACAAGTGAGAATTAAATTTAAATTAAATAGAAAATAAAAACGACGAATTGCGCTAAGTATCACAGCCGGGTCTAAGACGTTGGTCCGTTATGCGGTGGGGATTAATTCACGTGAGAGCATATTTGTTTGTTTGCTTGTTTGTTGTGTGTGTGTGTACGTGTTTGTGTGTGTTTTGAGGTGTAATTAAATCTCTGCTTATAGGGCCGATGTGCTCGTCTCGCTGCTGCCTGCTTCACCATTTCTGCCCACTGGCGTTACACTCTTCAAGGACACGGGCGCTTCGTGCGCCAAATCCAAGGCTGGTGCTGTGTTTGACTCGGCAACGGCAACAGCAGCCGCAGCGGCAGCCAACTGAAACTGATTGGGTAGAAACAGGTAAGGATTATTCGACAGCCCAACAGAGCTCGAGCCCGACCCCGAACCCGAACCAGATGCAGTGCCTGCTGCCTCGCTGGCAACAACATCGCCACTAGTTGCAGTTGCCGATGGTGCAGTTCCTGTGCTCGACTGTGCCGCCAGTTTTGTGATGCGTTTGCGTCGTGCCTCATTTTCGCAGGGTGACGGCGCACCTGGATGACGATAGCTGACGTGCTTGCGTAGCGCATCCTTGCTGCGGGACACGTGCGAGCACACGTTGCACGCATAGCTGCAAGGACGAAAGCAATTTAAGAGGAGTTCCAAACTCACGAATGAAATATTTATTGTATTTTTCCGGTCAAACTCACCGCACATTCTGATGAGTCTCGAGGTGGACACGCAAATTGTATTGATTGCTCAGCTGCTTGTGGCATATGAAGCATGTGGCATACAGCTTGGAGTTCGATGGCGGCTTGCTGGGCGTCGGCAACTTCTCGGCGCTGAGTGACAGCAAGTTCGGTTCAGATTTGGCACTGATCAGCTGTCCAGCTGCGGCAGCTGCTGCTGCCTCGCGCTGGCATGCCGCGTATTGTTCGATGTGCTGCTGCAGCTTCACATGATCCTCGGGTGTTATGTAGGGTGGACTGGCCAGATGTGATGCCTGGTGGGATGCCTGCTGTGCTGTTGTGGGCGTGGCAGCGGCACTATAACTCGGCAGCTTGGCGCTGCTGTACAAGTGCCCACCGCCCAATGGATTGCTGTAGCTGGGCGATGACTTCACGACGGGCAGCTGCGGTGAGAAGTGTGACATGGTCTGTGGTGCCAATGTTACCGGTGAGGTAGCCACAATCGAATTCGCTGCTCCACATTCCATTGGCGACTTGTTGCTGCTGCTGCTTCTCAGATTCTCGACAATTTTGTCCAAACGCTTGACATCCTTTGGGGCCGTTGAGTTATTTAGATTGCTTGAGCCCGGCACACTGCCAGTGCGCAGTCGCTTGGAGCCGTAGCAATCCTCTTCCTCGAGGCTGCTCTGATAGAGCTGACATTGCTGCTGATACTTGGCCAGCAGCTCTGTGGTCTTATTCAGCGCCGTCTGCGAGAAGTTCAAGGGTTGCGGCAACAGATTCGGATAGAATTGCAGCGACTTAAGAAAAAAGTTCTCCAGGGGTGTGCCCAGCTTATTGGCCAGGAGCGGTGTTTGCAGCGACGGATTCGGCAGCTGCGGCATTGCCAGACTGGGCGTTGTTGTGGGCGTGGCAGCGGGCGATGGCGTCCGGGCTGTCTCAAATCCCAGCGGCTTCTCGCCACCCGTTGGCTCCGTGTTGTAGGTGGTGGGAGTGGTGCTGGGAGCGCTCTTGGCTGGCTTGGGTAGCTGCAGGCAGGTGACATTAGATATTACGCAGGTTATTGAACAGTTTGAACTTACATTATTATTCTGCACATCCGCCAAACCCTTGATGCCCAAAGTTTCGGCCAGATTGAGGAGCACGGGTATCTGTTCCTCATAGACATTCACCTCGCCCGAGTACATGAACGTGAGCAGGGCGACAATAGCGCCAAAACTGGCGCCGGGTATGATGATGACCGGATGATTGCTGGCCTCCAGAGCGCGAAAGATCTCCATGAAGAAGCTGCTGCAGGCGCTGAGCACTACACGATGGGCACGCAGCAGACGACCCTCCGCCGATATGGTGACATCTGTGAGATGCGATTGATCCAGCAGTATGGGCAGGGTGCTCAGCAAACTGGTCTGGAGTGGAGATCGGAGATTTACAGTGGATTATGTTGCAGTTGTCAGTTGCAGTTGGGGGCAATTGGGTCACTTGATCATATAAATAGTACGACTACAAGATTTGGCAGACCAGCTGCCCGGACTATGCATATGTGTGTGCGTGTGTGTGTGTTTTTGGCTGGCTGGCTGGCTAAATTTGTGTTTTGGCCCTTGGCTGGGAGCTGGTGAGCTGGGAACATCGCCCGGAACACATTTGGAGCAAATGCGCCAGGCGACACTTAATGGCAGCTGAGCATTAATTGCAATTGCGTCGCGTTTGTGGCCGCTTCGAAATTAGATTTAGTTGCTAGTAAAAATTCTTTGGATTTTGGCAATTGCACGAAAATTTCATTTATTTGACAAATTTTTTTTTCATTTTTTTTCTTCGTGTTTTGCCTCTTACTCCGCTCGGTTGCCTTTGGCTATTTTGGACAGCTTTGTCGTCCCTCCACCCGATCTGTAGCAACAAAATTGTCACTATATGAAATGCGGAAAACCATGTGTGAATAGGTATGTATATATGTATATGTATATATATACATTGTACATATGTATGTATATTCTCTAAACCCTATATATAGACGGGTGACATTTCTCTGGTCGCTTCTTCGGAACGATGTCCAGTCAATTTTATGCCCGAGGCCAAGCCTCTAGATAATACTTGTACACCGTATAAAAACGACGCTGACGACTTGTATAAGAACATTCATTTATATTCATTTGAGAATTTTTTAGGGGGGAGGAGGAGGGGAATGGGTGCTTTGAATAACACATTGAACAACATAAATCAAAAGATGAGCTAAGTAGCTCGGAATTAATGGCACCTGGAGCGGCACGAAAGTTCAGAGAAATGGACTATAAGTAGATTTCAGTTAAGTCATCATTAATATATGAAATTGTTAACAGCGGTCAAGTTTTTAGTTTATTCTTGAAAAACTGATTATATTGGGTATAAAAAGGCAGTAGGATTCTAGTCATATTTGAGAAAGTTTTAAATATTTTGGTTGCAAATGTATATGATTAGAATTTTGAGAGAAAGCGTAAGAGAGGAAGCATGGAGAGATTTAAATATGAACTATTATGCTAAGATTAATTATTGATTTCAACTCTTACGCATGCTTGGGTCTTTCTCTGATTTCTGTACGATCTCAAGAAAAATCCCGATCTCTGCTGTTACCTGATGATTATGCCATCGCAGACAAAATTGTTGTTGATTTTCATTATGTTGTTGCTGCTGTTCCAGTTGATGTTGCTGCAGTTGCTGCTGTTGTTGTTGCTGTTGTCTTGTATTTGTTGTATTTACATGTTCCATAATTCATTAAAATATTTGTATGTTCCTCACATAAATGGTCCTGCAAAATATATATTTAAATAATCCTTTTATTAGCACATCACAATAATTCTAAATTGCATACAGTTTCATTATTGTTTGTCGAACAGAATTCTTGTGTTTATTTTGATTTTCATAATTTGTTTGTTTGTCTTGCGATTCGGTTTGTTGTCGTTTTTATGATTTGTTTATTCATTGAACATTTTGTCACACACTTTTCGTTTCGCTTTGATTTTAAGAGATCCGTCGAATGCTCTTTATAGAGCGTTGATCTTTAGAGACACACACGCGGCGTATACGTCTTATGTCGTAGCATTTGGTATATTACTCATACGCCATGGCATGCTTCGTCTGCTCATGATATGAATAGCTGTGTGATGTAGTCGTCGATGTGTGCGAGTCAGATGTGACATAGCAAAGTGTAGCGTGTGTGCAGGTTTGTGTGTGTGTGTGTCTGTGAGGAAGGGGAAGGGTTGAGTGAATGGGAAAACAATGGATTATTACACTGAAATCAATGTGTGCTTAATTCGATTAGAAGCTGTGTAAAATAATGTGGGAGGTGAATATTTTGATGGCTTGGGCTTTAGTCGATATCTAAAGCCGGTAAATTATTTTTAGTGAGTCTAGAAAAAATTAAAAATACATTTTTATGAATATAATTAAACGAATTAAGTATTCGTTCTATATTGAGTTGCTTATAAAAAACTGCATTTTTTGTCATGGTGTTTTATTTGAATTGATTTTAATCTTAACTGACTGTGCCAGTTTCTAGATCTTGCTGTCTGCTCTTTGGCATTCCAAGGTAGTCTCTTTTTGGATCGTTGGTCGTTTAATACGCCTAGGTTATTTCGTTAATATTGCCAGGCACCCAGTTGACAATACTAAATTACAATCAAAATACTAAAAGGAAGAAAACAACAAACACTCGCACACACACCTATGTATATGTATGTATTGAGATGGTTTTTAGGTGTGCAGGGGTTCAGCATGTGCTTTGGCTGGCAATTAAATTTATTTAAATAAAATTAATTTGGTTTTTGTTGTGCTTTCTTTTAGTTGTTGTTATTGTTGTGCTTGCTTTTGGCTGGTCTCTGGTCTACATTGCGATGGGAACTGGCCTGGCTATATGTCTATCACTGTCTGATTGCAGGGGTTTCTGGGCTGCGCTACAAATCTGCCAATTTCCATTGTTTAGCCATTGCGGCTATACTAGATGCCATGATATACAACTACGTCGTATTTGGCAGGAGGGGGGGAGGTGGGGCTTGTAGGGGTTGTAGGTGTGGATTGGGGTGGTATTGCCCACTACTTTTGTCCGAGGGCTATTTTTGTGTGTGCAACGGACATGCATAAAATAAAACTGTGTGAGAATCACAAACTGCAACTCATTGGAGGCCCCGAAAGTGACAACTACGACATCTTTGCTAGCCGTTTGGTGCCCAGCATGCGATTTGTTCTGTTATTGTTGTTGTTGTTTTTGTTGTCGACAGACGGAATTTTCTTCATTCCATTATGTGCACAGCGAGTGAAAATCGCATCTAAGCATTTTTCTATTGAGCGACGAAGGCACATAGAAGAAGAATGATTACCAGAACTGGGGACGTTGGACGGGGCACGGATCGGGCGGGAGGAGAAGGACGCTCTGGCCTGGGGTTTGGCCTTTTTGGCGCTCGTTCACACAGAAAGTGTCTTTTCCGTAACTCTTTGGTATTTCTGCTCAGATTTTTACTTGATATATTCCGAAATTAGTTTCAGTTGCTTATGTATTTTTAAATAGCCGCGACAAGAACTGTGCTAAACGCTCTCGCCAGCCTGTCTATTTTGATTTGTTGTCCAAGTGCCGTCTTTGTCAAGTGATTTCATCATCACCCAACACCCTTCATTGCCCCCAACCACCCTTTTTGGCCACTATCCACTTATCCACTACCAAATTGCGAGCGTTGATGCGTAATATTTTACACATAATCGCTCATACGCCGCATTGCCATTCCAAAAGTCACAAAAAGGATTTTTGTTGTTGATCATTTCGCATGCTTTTCTCTTAACTTTTATTTTTCCATGACAGATCGCACATAAATTCGATGTCCACTTATTTTTGTAGTCGCAAAACTGAATTTTTGTGTATAATTTTTTAGTATAATTTGTATTTGAGGTTTCCAGTTTTTTTTTTTTTTTTTTTTTTTTTTGCGGCCCTGGCAAAATCTATTAATACACCTAGGCCCAATTGAATTTAAGGGGCTTTCATCTGGAATTTAATTTGTCAACAATTTCACGCAGAAATTTCCTGTTTCCAACATAGTTTATTGAACATAAAACTTGCTTTATATTTAGAAGGAATATTTATTTGGTTTGTTGGCTTTTTTTTCACTTTGCTCCATTTTATAAAAGACTCGTGTTGGATATTAAAGATTATGTTATCTTGTTATTTGTCACATTTAAAAAGAAAATTCATTAATGTTTTCTGTTGGACATTCACAAATTAGTAAATAATCCCCAACTGGAATCTGAAGAGACATTTCTTGGCAGAAACACTATTGAATGAACTTGTTTGCATTTTTTCATTTCAAAATTTAAGTTTTTATGTACACTTGGGATTGTAAAGTTATTTTATCGCATAATTTGTCATATAAAAAATTTGTATCAACACGCAAAAACTGTAGATATATATGAAAATACAGATATATTTATAAAAGACTTTTTTTCCTCGTGTTTCTAATTTATGTGAGTTTTATTAGTCTTATATGTTTATTTCTTCATTTTCCTGCCACGCTTTTTATTCGGTCTATTTAACAATGAATTGTAAGGTATAGTTAAGCACACTTTGTATACTCATTATTTTAAATACTTTTTTGTTGAGTTTTGATTTTTGTATTATATTTTTTAGTTGGTTTTTAAAATGTTGTTAATTTGTAATGCTTAAAATTTGCATATCCATAACATGCCACAACTGTTTAGCATTTTTGTATTGTTCAACGTATGTCGCGTGACGAATTTGATTAGTTTATTTTATTTTATATATTTAATTTTTTGTCAATGCGTACTATTTTTTGTTTGTGGCTAAGCGCGCACCTTTGTTAACCGTTTGCTGCTCGCATCTGAAATGAAAATACCCGAAAATGTTTCAATTCTTTCGGTTTTAGTTGGAGATTTTCTATTTTTCGAATGTCCATCTCTTGACAATTTTTGCTGTGTGCTTTTAGTTGCTTTTGCTGTTGTTGTTTGCCATTTGTTTTGTTGATTTGATTTCTCGCTCGTTGCCGCCGTCGTCGTTGTCGTCGCTGTGGATGTCTTTGCTCAGCTCTTAACGATCTCAATCTCATCAACAGCATCGTTGTCGTCGTCGTCGTCGTCGTCGTTGATTCCATGTTCTAATTAATGAGCAAGCATGCTGGCAGGCATTCAGGCAGCCGAAGAGAAATTGTTATAGTTTTGTACTCACAATTTGTTGCTTAATTAATTAGCTGCAAACAACATTTAGTTAATCAAAACATTTGTTAATTCATTAGAGGTGCACACATAATGAGCATTAGCTTGTAGTCCATCTGCTACTCGAGACACAATTGACATGGCCAAAACGAGACACACAAATACATGCATCTGCAACTACCAAATTGCAATTCTCACAATTCTTGTGTGCATTATTAATTTGCAATAAAAGTGTGGAAGCAGCCACAGTCGCAAAGAAAACAAAACAACAACAAAATCCACAACGTTACAAAAATAAATGTTTGTACCTGCTGTTTAGATTTGAATTATGTTGACAACGCCTGACAAATACAAATGGAGGTGAATTGGAGGCGCTGCTGGGCCAAAACCGCTCCCCCCAGCACCACCACTTTGCCCCTCCCATGCTGCTGCAGATTTCAATTCATTAAAATGCCACAAATACTTATTTATTATTGCCATTATTCGTGTGGCTGCCTTGTATATTTGGGTTAGCCCAGCACATTTATTCTATCTAGGGATTTAAGAGAGAGACAGATGGAGAATCATCTATCGCCTATAAGCTAAAGCATCGCACCTCCGACAATGGCTTGCACTGCTGCTGCGCATAATCCCAGCCATATTTGTAGGGACAACGGACTATGGTCAAATAGCCGTCAATGCAGCTATAATAATACTCGCAGCGTTGCGGATGCGGATGATAGCCATCGCCCATGGTATTACAATGTGGTCGACTCCCATCTGACGCACTTGGCTGCGCAACTATAGATGCCGGAGTAGATGTAGTTGGTGCTCCTGGCTGCAATTCATCACTGCCGTTGCTGCTGTCGACTGTCACAGCAACAACTGTTGCTAGTTGAGCTGTAGTTGTGCTTATTGGCTCCAGGCAAACACCAGCATCGTCAAAGGTGCACTCCTGTGCCTTGGCATCAAAATACGTTTGCTCTGGACAGGAGTCCCTAAAGGAGTTCTCCCCATTGCAGTATATATAGCTCACGCAATCATCTATGGCCATCACAAAGGTATCTGCCTCCACATTGGCACATTGTGGAAACTCTTCCGCTTGGCTAGTGGGCAGTCCTCCGGCCAGAAACAGTAGGCAGAGTAACCTGATCAAGTTTTTGTGCTGAAACATTCTTGTATATGTAAGACTCTTGCTGTTTTCGGTTTGTTCTGAACTTTGGGAATGCGCTCGCCTTTTTATGCCACATTTGAAGGTCAATGCGAATCACTTATCAACATTGTTATCTCATACAAGCGTTGTACTTTTCTCTATTGCCAAAAGTTTATCAATTTACTAGTGTGTCAAGGTCGCATACATGAAACCTCATTTGCTCATTTAGCACAGCAGCTAAGTTCAAAATTGATTTACAAAATTATTGGGACATTTACTGCAAAAAGAACTGTTGTTAAATCAAAACAAACTTCCTTAATTGACATATGCCGCAGAATAAAATGATCTCAAGTCGAATCTCAGAAAGTTTATTTTGAAGCTAACATAAAATACAAACAAAAAACTACAATTACAATTTTGTGTATGTAGTAATATTTTAAAATGTTTAATCTAAGAAAAATTGAGTTTGATTGTTGCTTAACTAACATAAAAAAATTGTTATTTAAAATCCATCTAAACTTGCAGCATGGGCCGCTTTTCCTTAGCTTGTAGATTGTCATTGGTGATTGCGTAGCCGGTGCCACCCTAAAAGCATCAATTTAAATTATACACAAAAAAAAACTCTGGTAATATGTCATGTGCTTCACTTACACGTTGCAGTGGAATGATGTCCTTGTCCTTAAGCTTGCGATCGGTCAAAGGATGTATCATGTCCTTGCGTATAAGCTTCTCTACGCATTCCATGGTAACGACATCGCCACTGCAAGCATAAATTTAAATTCAATTAATTTTTTTCAATATCGACATTCCTCTTACTCACGTAGGACGCAGAACGGCACAAGGCACCGCATTGCTTAAAGCATCGTGGGTGATGGGACACATGTAGCGCGCCTCCTTGGCAATAAGGGAACGCTTGGTGTCCCCATCTTTGAGCAGCGTAAACTTGACATCGATTAGATCCTTCATGCGAAGCTGCTGCTGGGAGACGGGGCAATAAATGGTGGGATCGGGCTTTTGCGCCTTGGCAACGCCTGCATTCGGACACTCGGAAGGTAGCCAAAAGCTGGGCAGCTTCTTTTCATGCCCATTAGTCATATTGGAAATGGAATTGCTAGAGCTGGCCCCTGCTGCTGATGAAGTGCCGGGCATCGCATCGAGATCGCTGGTCTTTACTATGGTAGCTGTCGGCTTATGTGCAGGAGTTGTTGTTGGCTTCTCAGCATTGACGAATTTCTCCATGCGCGCCAATTGCTTATTATTTGCATCCTGAGCCAGTTCGTTTTCCTCGACGCGACGCAGACGCTCATATTCCTTCAGCTTGCGACTGTACTCGTTTTTCTTGGTGACAATGTACTGTAGGATGGCCTCCTTGTCGAAAAGGTAACCATCTTTGGTTACCACAGGATTCCGGCAGGGCTGCAGGGTCAATGAGCAGCAATCAAAAGATTTCACTGAATCTTTGCCCAGACGCTTGTCATTTGTGCCATATCCGGATTCTGCTGCATCGCGTTTCTTTTCGTTGTAGGTATAAACAGCTCCGGCAGTGCAATTGCGTGCATGGCGAGTCATTTTCAATCAAATTTATAAGCAAACAAATAAATAAACAAATGTCAGGCCAAAAACCAAACGATAACGATAACTGAACTCTATCGTCGATAAATTAAATAGGGTTTGGTTGCATAAATATCTAAACTTCCTCAATAGACATTTTAAAGTGGTTATATTATTAGACTTAATTGATGTTTGAATAAAAATATTAAAATTATAAATAAACTTATGCTGACACATCTAAGCCAACTATCGATTGCATCGACAAAACAGATGTTTGGTATTAGCCAGTGTCACCACACTGGTTGCCAGGAACTATCGATATTGAAAAGGAACCAATCGATAAATGAAACAATTTGAATCTAATTTTGAAATTAATGGGTACATTATTTATTTTCATTATATTGCACCTTTACATTATTTATTTATGTTGCATATGAGTAGTTGTTACTTGACTAGTAATACTGTTTGGCTGCTTGATGTGTATTTAGTTTAACATTTCACATTTTTATATAGTATCTAGTAGTACTTTACGGCTTCTACTTCCTATTTCTTTGGTTTACCTATTATTTCTTTGCTTTGCCTCTAATGGTTTATTTCGTATGATTTTCTTTTGAGCATATCACAGAACAAAAATGATACATAGTTAGTATAGAGATTGGGTCTTGGGTTCGTGTGTTTTGGATTAGAAAGTTTCGAAGTGTAAAAATATTAAGTGGAGCTTAAAAATATACTTTATATTTAGTTGTATATATGTATGTATATTTGTGTATATGTATGTATATATATTTTTATATATATACATATATATATATATATCTATACATATATATATCTATATATATTTATATATCATCTATATGCAAATGTAATTGTTTGCCGTGTATATGTTTATATAAAGTTTTGATATCATTAGAAAAATATTGAGCAAAAGTATTTGGTATGTCGGACTGGGTTGATAGATAGCTGACGCTTAACTGAAATTGACGCTCAATTCCTAAATAAACAAAAAAAAACCAAAAATCCTACTCTTAGCCTAATCTACACGAGTATCTTATCATAGGACGGCGGCGGTGACTCATCGAGTGGCAGCTGCTTTCCCAGCGCCGTCGGCGTTTGCTCCGGCAGCAATATTGCTATATGATACGGCGGTGGTCCAGCTGCTGCTGCTGCAGCCGTTTCTGCACTAACAACCTCCACCTGTCGCTCATCTAAATAGCGCACATCATTCAGCTCCAACATGCAGCTGCTGACATTGCCGCCGGCATTCACGCCACGACTGTGGCAAACGGCGCGTCCATTAGTGCGACTGGACAGCAATCCACTGGGTATGCGGCACATGGACATCATGCAGGCAGCCAAAATGAATGTCACTGAGAATCCACAAAATATGAACACCTCCAGCCCAGTGCCCTGATGATCAAAGTAGAACTTTGCGCCCGCCACAAAAACCGAGGCCAGCACTAGCGATGCGCACATTCCGCACTTCAGATGACTGGGCAGCAGCTGCGAATCGGCGTGTTGCAACAGTGCGTGATGCTGCTGCTGTAGCTGGTTGCCCTGGCCCGTGACCACTGCCTGTGCCTGTGTGGGTGGTATTGGCGTGGCCGAAACAGGGACTGCTGCTGCTGTAACGGAAGCTGTTGCTGCTGATGTGGCTGTTGTTGCTGTTGTGTGTCGCATGTTGCTGCTGGAGTTGTGACGACGCGGTGTTGCATATCGACTGTTGTTGCTGTTGCTGCTGCTGTGATGATGATGGTGATAGGCGCTATAAGCATCGTCGCTGTGTAGTAGATTTTATTATAATCATAATCATTTAAATGAGAGAAATTAACTATTTTAATGTTTGCACATTGTTCTTTTTAGTTGGATGCTTTTCAATTTATATTATTAGAGATATAATAATATAATTTGCATAAAATAAATTGTTTTAGGTAGATTTGAAATACATACGCATAGACGCCCGAATGTTGCTGATGTTGCTGATGATGTTGCTGCTGTTGCAGTGGCTGTTGCTCATACTGCCGCATCGGCACAGCCATGTTGCCAAATTGTGGATGATGATAGCTGTAGCTGTAGTGATGCTGTTGTTGCTGCAAGTGTTGCTGCTGTTGCTGCTGCTGCTGCAACTGTTGCTGTGATCGCGGCTGGTAGCGCGTGCTGTGCTGATGATAGCCATGCGAACCATGTGCGACCAGTGGCACAATTGTTCCGCTGCCTGTTAGCACCGCCGCCGATGAGGCTGTGACATTAGCATTGTTGTTGTTGCTGGCAGTTGTTGCCGTTGTCATTGCCGCAGCAGCATTGCTATTGTTGTTGTTGCTGCTGTGATGGAAGAGTTGCTGCTGCTGCTGTTGCTGCTGTGCATTATTGTTGCTGCTGCTGGTATAGTGCAAGGCCTGGCGACTGGTGCCAGCGCCCGTCTGACAGTCACCGCCATAAGGCGCTACTGTGCGATGCACCGAGGCGAGTGTTTGATTATGGCTGCCACTGCTGGCGCCGCTGCTGCTGCTGGCCAAGTTGTTGCTGTTGTTGCTACTGGACTTGCTGCGCCGCGGCGGATGTCCGTAGCTGAGGCCACCGCCCGCATGCGACAGGGAGGCGGCAACGCGCGACCGTCCAAAACCGCATTGTTGCGAACGCTTATCAATCCAGAAATGCATCTCCAGACGAACACTTGTCGACGACTGTAAGTAGAAACTTGTGTTAACCGATAAACAGACAGACACAGACTGCAAACTGCAAAGAACTTAGTTGATGCTAAGGTTGCCATTTAGATTTGGGAGTTTGGGCAACATTTGAGCCAGACAAAGCGCATGAGTCATTTGGATTCGAGTCGAGACATGCCTAGACGGAAGAAGGAAGCTCACACACACACACAGACACTCACACACACACAGACACTCACAAACATACTCACAAACATAGCTAAGCAGGAAACGTGCGCAATGCTTTTTATTATGCTGCACTCCAAGTCTGTCTGCTGTTTCCTCTTTGTGCGTTCTTTCAAGTTCAACTACCCCCACAGCAATAACAACAACAACAGCAGCAGCCCCAAACAGCTTCCCCAAACGACAGCGCAGAACTTCATAGGTAAGCGTTAAACAAAGGTTGAATCTGCCTGTCTGCCTGCCTGGTCAAAAAACCCCAATAATAATAACAGCAACAGCAACAAGAGCAACAACATGCAATTTGGGAATGCTTTCACTTCCCGTGTCATTGGCAGCAGCCAAACCAAACAGCCAACAAGAGCTGACAAACTCTCTCAGCACAAAAGCCCAGCGCGCCAAAAAATGAACGCAGACACCCACACAAAGGGGTTGAAAAGGGGTAGAGTGGCTGATAGCTGTAGCCACACAGCAGCTTGCCGTGTGACAAAGGACACGTCCACAGGACTGCACAGTGGTCTTTATTCAAGTTGTAAATGAATTTGTGTGCTTTTAAAATTGTCAAGATATTTATAAAAATGAATATTTTTGGTTGGAATAGTTGGCAGATTTGTTTGCCAAGTGGGCTTTTTGGCCGGATTAGTTTCAACTGTTTCCGTGGTGTAGCGGTTATCACATCTGCCTAACACGCAGAAGGCCCCCGGTTCGATCCCGGGCGGAAACAGAGAGTAACATTTTTTGCATTTTTATTGGGTTTTTTAAAAATATTAAACTTGTTTTGTTGCCGTACTTTGCTTCATTAAAATATTCAAAGTCTGTTCTGCGCTATTTTAGTTAGATGTGGAATATTAAAAGCAATTAATATATTTTAAACGTTTTATGAGTTCTCGCAGCTCTTGTTGCACAGTCTGTGTGCAAGAACACTATGTTGACATTTGCGTTTGCCGCTTAACTGGCTTAACTGTTCATTGAACCGTTTTTCCCAGTGGTCTTGCTTGTTCTGGTCCGCGGTCTTGTTCCTTGGCTGGGGTATTAACCAGTCAACAATGACAACCAAAAATCATATAAAAAGAAAATTGGGAAGATGAAAAAAACGCAAAGAGAAAATAAATTGCAAAGAATAAAATTGCTTATAAAAACAGGCTGGCATTCAAAAATGATACGTATTTCTTCATTTCTGTGGCTGTCTCTGATGCTTAAAATCAGAGTCCAAAAGAACTCCTCTCAAAGTTCAAAGTTCAATGCATGGCTTTGTCAACGACTTCTTCAGTGAGAAAAGTTACACAACAACGCACTCAGAACTGAACGCAAATAAATAAATACTCAGGCAAATCACAAGGCAAAAGTAATAAAATAAACATACTCGAGCATTTAAATGGGACACTTTGACAACTGTTTGATAGGTTCATTTCAGCCAATTGCTCGCCCCCATCCTCGACTCTTTTAGTTGTCATACAGAACGCCTGGTTGGTTGTCTGGGAGATGCCTCAAAGTGTACCTCAATGTGCACCGCTGGAGCAAGGTTCAATGCATTGTGTATGTTTGATTTGTGCTTCAGCTAACCCCCCAAAATGCCCCTTTTGGTTTTTATGATTACTGTTTGATATTTGCACTCGATCAAGTTGAATGTTCGCCGTCGTTTATTTAAAGAGTCAAAGTTATTTTCGAAATTTAAAATAAAACATTAATGGGCGGTGACTTTGTTTCTCGTATGCCATCAAGATTCACTTTTATATTTTTTTGCAGAAGTATTTTATCTTTTATTGATTCTACTTGATATGAGAGCCACCATTGTTAAGGCAAACTACTTAAGAGTTGACCCTAGTCCAAGGTTCAAGTTTCATCTCACACTTTTCTACATTCTTTGTTTGTCTTTTCTCAAGAAGGGAAAAGTTTTTGATTGTATCTAACAAATATATATGATTTGAATACAATACATTGCTGTGACCTCTAAGGGAACTGAATCAATTTCCAAAAACTGCTACTAACTTGCACAATTTAAGCACAATTATATATATGGAGGTATTTAATTTATTACTTGTTCCATACTATGAATGGAAAGCACATCAATATTTATTTTTGTATACATAAATTTTTCACTTAACGAGCCCATTATTCTATTATCAGATTTGGCAGCTCCGCACTGAGTTTAGCCACAATAAAAAACAACATAAAACTGGCAAATCATTTGGTCGCATTCCAGAATGCTTTTTAAAATAGCTTCATTCAAAACAATTTGTGATTGCTTTTATTGATTTAGTTTTGAATTTTCGTTCACCCTGTTAATTGACTATTGACCGCAACAGTTCCGACTGTTTCCGTGGTGTAGCGGTTATCACATCTGCCTAACACGCAGAAGGCCCCCGGTTCGATCCCGGGCGGAAACAGAAGCTAATAATATGCTTTTCCGCATATTTTATTGAAACAAACTTTTCAAATTAATTTATATTATTAGTTTTTATGTTGCATCATCAAATTGATTTTATTGTTATTAATGACATAGTTTGCTGAATTCTGTAAATAGTACAAATTTTATGAAAATGTCAATAATTAACCGAAGAAAAAATAAATAAAATTAAGAGGCTAAATAATTTTTGTAATTGCTTGGACCTATTTCAAAAATAAACAACAAGCGAAAATGATTCCCAAATAGCCAAATAATTAAGACTACACTATACAATGTAGTGCTATAAGACAAATGTTTGTTTCAATTGCTTATAACTGTTTATATCGTCATATTGTCTCCAAGTTAAATTATAGTTTAATCTTATCTCATATATTCCTTGCTGGCCATTATCTGCTTTATGCGCATTAAAATAAATTTACGCATTTGAAAAGAAACTCATTTGAAAACAGTAATCCAGTTTTTAATAAAAAAAAACGAACATAAATACACATACAAACATACATACACACATACAGACGTATGTTTGTATGTGTCGAGCCATCATCAGCTTACTCAACCTATATAACCTACATACATACAAAGCTTTAGTTTGCCTTTGTTCAATGTTTTATTTTTTAATTTATTTTTTTACATCACTTTTGATTTCGTTTTTGTTTTGCCTTTCGCTTTTCAATGTGTTTGTTTGAACTTGTTTGCCGAACCGGCTGGCAAATTGCCCAGCCTTGTATTTATTCCCTAAATTCAAAAGTCATTTTTGGCCGACCTGCGTTCAACTGTTTCCGTGGTGTAGCGGTTATCACATCTGCCTAACACGCAGAAGGCCCCCGGTTCGATCCCGGGCGGAAACAGATGATTTACTTTTTGCAATTGCTTTTTTAAATATAATTTAGGGCATTTGCGTTGATAATCGTTTTATTTATAAATATTTTAATGTATTTCACTTATAATTTACATAATAGGCACGTTTTCATTGAATACATTCTATTTTAAATAAGATTTATTGGTTTATTATTCTATAAAGAGAATAGAGAAAAATGTAATTGATAACAAACAAGTGCAGCAAAACTTCACACTCAAGTCTTTGTCTACAGTCTAGACACATTTGATCAGCTTTCCCGGATAGATGCGTAGCAATGCAAACACGAATTAATAATAACTACTGCAAAATACACAACTGCACAAATGGGGAGACATCTCAGTGTACTGTAAAGCCCAAACACTTTCACTCTCACTTTGTGAAACAGGCCTCTTGGCCTTTTTTATTTGACGGTTTGTGTTTGCTGTTAACCTTTACTTTGTTTTGCGTTTTTCTCGTTTGCCTTGGCGGGAAGTGAATTTGTTGTTTCACATGGCTTTGCAAAGACAAAAAATGTGAAAATGTGGAGGCATTAAATCAACTTGAGCCAAAGCTCGCTGGATAATGCCCACGACTATGTGTATCCGTCTGTTCGGCTGTCTGTCAGAGCGACAAGCAGACACACTGCGATGCTGCTGCTGCTGCTGCTACTGCTGCCAATTGATGGCACACGCTGCGTATGAGTAATGCCAGCATTTTCAATGCAATTCGAATGCGTTGGTGTGTTGTACATAGTACATATGTGTGTGTGTACGTGTGTGTTTGTGAATATCTGCAACTTTGTATCCTTCCCTCTCGGTGTGTGTGTGTGTATGTGTGCTGAGGTGTGTGTTTGGTGCATTTTCAAGTGCATGCCGATTTGCATGGTACTTGTTAAAACTTTTTTTTTACCTGTTTTAATTTAACAGCTAAGTGATTTGTTTTGAATTCTTTTCTTTATTTTTCACATTTGTGGCACATCGCTCATTGTTGTTGCTGTTATTGTTGTTATTGTTGTTGTTGTACGGAAAAGTCCTTGAACGCTCAACTGACCTGACACGATACACACAGCAGAGCAAAGCACAACACAGCACAAAACAATTGGTAAAAAAGAAGCGTATCCTTTTGCCAGCCTTGAATAATACACACGCGACAGTTGTTGTTTGACTCAATTTCACAGATTGTCAAATGCCACGCGAAACATTGATTGCAACTTTTTTGATTGTATACATAAATCGGGCAATACAATTATGATTATTCTAAATACAGTGCGCGCTTTTCATTTTACATTTTGAGTGGTGCGTGTCTGCCTGCCTGCCTGCCAAACTGCTGCCTCCTGCGCAAGGACCCGCAGCCAACTGACAACGCCAACTGAATATCTGAATGCAGCTAGCGAAACATTTTCACTTTTCATGAGTTTCAGATTCAAGATTATTTCTACTTTCAATGTGTGCTTGTGTGTGTGTGTGTGTGTGTGTGCGTGTGTGTGTGTGTGTGTGTGTATTGGTTGGTTTGCAAAGAAAATTCAGAGACTGCCAACATTCGTTTCTGCTTTCGGTATTGGCTACGATGTGTGCGCGAGTGTGTGTGTGTGGGTGGCGACTGCATGAATGGGGTTCTCCTCTTTGCTCTCTCAGAAGACACGCGGCAGCTGCACGGCACAGGCGCAATAACGGCACACCACCATTGTGAATGGTTTGCAAATAAGATAGGAAAAGCTTTTGCCAGTGAAATGGGAAATAAAAGCTATATTCGGCAAGCCAGAGATTTTATGTACCGCTTCTGAACAAAGTCCTCCTGCTTATATAATATGATTATTAATTGATAACTAAATGATTTGTGAGCAGCATAATGTGACTGTGTTTCCAAATCTTTAACAGATTAATACAAAATAGATGAATTTATAGAACCCTGATCAAATCCACTTTTTATTAAATACTTTCAATTATGGCTAAAAGAAAGTTATGGCTCTTTAAAAATCTGTTTAGTTTTGAATATGTTAAGGCTTAGGAAAATTTTGTACCATCCGATATGCAATTTTTTTTAATGGGATATTAACCTAATTACCGGTCTAAATTCACTTTTTTTTTAAACTTTAAATGAAGTATCAAAACGCACTTGCTTTTGAAAATTTGTTTAGTTTTGACATAGTTATGGCAATAGAAGGTTTTGACTCAAAATGACGCAAAGAAACAGACAGACATTAAGTGACCATTAATGCTGTTAAAAAATAAGCATGTGTAATTACGGAGTTTTCATCCAAAATTTATATATCTTCACCAATAAATAGATAAGCTGGCGAATGCAAATAAACATACAGCATAATCAAAATCAGATTTGATGATTAGTTGTTGGCTATGTATTTGGGTTGGCGGCATTCACGTAACTTGGAATCGTACCACAAGCCAGGAGTACAGTCCAAGGTGACACCATTACCATCTACACAATAGTAGTAGGCATCCACACGCGACTTGTGGGCGTAAAAGTGAACTCCATGAGCTGGACAGATGATATCAGCGCGTCGAGGCGGTGAACGCGAATAGGGCTGAATGTTGCGCTGCTGGGGCGTCATCTGACATGTTCAGAAGAGAGCAAGATCAATATTCGAATTAGATCTGCATTCGATATGAAATTCACTCACCTGACACTCAACATTGCCTGCAGGGACGCAACAGTTGCACGTAATATCAAAGACTAAACCACTAGTGCACGTCTGAGGCCAGGGAGTGCCATCGGAACAGATGAAATACTTGCTGCACCCAGCCTTACTTGGCAGATATACGATATTTGTCACATCCTTTTCCGCGGAACACTCGTTCTCCACACAGTCCACATATTGGGAGAAATCACAACGATCCGTCTCCGCATTATACTGCAATCCATCGTGGCACTCCCTCAGAACCGGAATACCAAAATAGCAGAGCACGTATTTGGTACAGGTGCGATCGTAGCAAAAGCTTGTCAGGTTATATTCTTCGCACATGGGCAGACATTTGACATTCTCATCAGTTGCATAGTTGCATGTTTGGTATTTGTAATCAAATAAGAGCTCACAATTCCCGGTATTATTTTTACAAAGTGTGTCGAAAGCGGTGCCTTCGTAACAGCTACCAGTAGACGCATATTTCCCATCTATTGCAGAAATAGTACAGAAAGTTAGGATCACGTTCGCAATACTAATCAGAATATATTAATTACCTATGCAGTTTATATAGGAGGAACAGTTGGTTATATCGGGAAGCAATGTATTATTGGCCACATTTGCACACAGATTAATATCATTCACAACTAATTCGTACTTAGGATCATCTTCTTCCGATTCGCCATTGGAATTGGGCGCTTCTATCGATTCGGATTCCGACACTATACTTACATAAGTCCTTGCGAATACGCACTGGTTCAGGGCGAACAGAAATCCATAGAGCAGCAGCAACTTCACTGTTAATGGAATATTAAACACCAAATAGATCAACATTTTAATTGGTCATTGGGGACACACAATTTCTACGTACTTCTTGTGGAGAGCAATAGTTTCAGAGCACAACTATGATTGGCTCTAGAAAAACATCCGAATTTATATGATTTCTTTTTGATATCATTTTTCTTTCCATTTTTCTTTTTTTCGTTCATTTAATGAGTTCTTGGAAAGCTACGGACGTTATCTAATTTGGGCACGCGCATCGATACACCCATAAGAAAGCTACATTTTAATTTGGTAGTTGTTACTGAAATCTCATATGTCTTATTTTGTATGAAATGTTCGAAATTAATCGAGTTCCTAAACATGAAATGTTTGCCGGTGATTAGGTTTTAAATTTTTCGATTTTTTCTTTTTGTTTAATTTTTTTGCTCCAAAATTATAAGTTTATACCTAATCTAATCTAAGTCGTACAATCTGTGCATAGAAATGCTTTAATTATTCTTCAAAAAAAACATAAATATATATTTATATATATAGTTTTTAATGTTGTTGAGTTAACCAATAAATTTTAGGATTAATAGATCTAGACTCACATTATTTCCTTATTACATTTGTCATTTACATTTTCCATTTTTGTAGTCTAGTGTAAGTAATTACAGATTAATTAGATGAGTGCAGACCAAGCCAGCGACATTTAAACAGTTTTCGCTTCTATTGGTGTGTAATGTTTGAAAGACATTGTGTAAATTTAACAAACATATGCTTATTAATAGGTAGTTGATAAGGGAAGGATATTAGAGACCATATGAGTTGTATGTGATAGATAAGTTCAGAGTTTGTTATTAATATTATCGTGACACTGCTTTTATCTATCCAATTTGAATGTTTGCAACGGGCTTGCCACTAAATTACAAAATAAGTAGCATGTTTTGCCATCTGATGAGTTTTCTTTCGCCAACTAAGAATACATATCTGCAGTTGATTAACAAAAAAAAAACCACAAAAACAAAATGAAGAAAGAAGTTGCCTATAAATGGAAGTTTCCATCGCATGAAGTCATCAGTTGTACATTAAGCCAGACAACAGTGAGTATAGAAAATAAAAGTCTACTTGGACTTGAGGATAATAATTCTTTTAGGAACAGCAATGAAAATTAAGCAACTGTTGACGGTGCTGTTCTTGGCCACGCTGGTTGGTCATGGATTGGGTGACGTTAACATTTGCTCCAATGTGACCGACAATTTATTCTTGCCACATATCGCTAACTGTAGCGAATACTATCTGTGCGTTTGTAAGTGATTTCTGCAAGTTGTTTTGGATCTCTTTTAAATTCGTTTCCCTCTTAATAGCCGGCGTGGCTGTGCCTCGCACCTGCAGCGAAGGCTACTACTTCGATGCCAAAGATCAGCAGTGTGTGGATGTCTCCGAGGTGAGATGCCTGCCCAGGTGTCCGGCCCAGGGACTGAGTTCCTTCTGCTACGATCGCACCTGCACCAAGTATGTGCTCTGCTTTGGCGGCGAGCCAGTTCTACGCGAATGCGCCGATGGCCTCCAATACAATGCGGAAACTGATCGCTGCGATTTTCCTCAGTATGTGGACTGTGTGGACAACCTCTGCATAAGGCAGAACAATGCCGCTGATATTGTGTACATTGCCAGCAAAGCGCTGTGTGACAAATATTATGTCTGTGTCGATGGTCTGCCGGTGAATCAGACATGTGCCAGTGGACTTCAATATAGTCCCGATTGCCAGTGCTGCGATTTTCCCTCACGCGCTAATTGTGCGGTAAGTTTTCGAAATGCACTTCCTACAACGAATTTTCAATATTATGTTGGTGTCTGTCTCTCTGTCTCTCTCTCTCTCTCTCGCTCTCTCTCTCTCTCTCTCTCTCTCTCTCTCTCTCTCTCTCTCTCTGTTTAGGTTGAGTCACTGCAGCGTAATATTATGCCATTTGCCAAAGTGCCGCCACGTATTGCCGACATCGAGTGCCCGACGGAGGGTGCTCACTTCTTTGCCCACAAGAACCGCAAGGATGCCTACTATTACTGCTCGAATGGAAGTGGAGTCACACTGGACTGCACTCCGGGATTGTTCTATGATGCCAAGATGGAGGAGTGTCGCGAGCCGCAATTTATATTTACCTAGAGGATAAATTCTGATTTAAACAAATAAATTTCAAAGTTCATCGCATTTGCTTGCATATTGTTTAAAAACGCTCATTGCAAATGGCCATAGGCTATAGGCATGCCTCTCGTTGGCTAATTTTAGCTGTTTAACAATACGTTGCTCTCTCTATCTTTCTCCCAGACAGGCGACAAAAAATTACAGAACGATCATCATTTAATACGGCTAACCGAATATGCTCAGTTGTCTATGGGAAAAGTTGCCTTACAATATAAGCTTTGTGGAAAAGAGCCAGAATATAATTGTCTACTTTATGGATTTAGTTTTAACACAATTTAGAATTCTCCATGGAAAATTTGCTTTAATTTTCTTAGCCCCCTATATATATAATGGTTCACGACATTCTTCAACATTTGGATCGTACCACAAGCCAGGCGTACAGTCCAAGGTGACACCATGTCCATTTATGCAATAGTAGTAGGCATCCGGGCGTGATTTATGGGCGTAAAAGTGAACCCCACGAGCTGGACAGATGACATCAGCACTCCGGGGCGGTGTTCGTGGAAAGGGTGAAATATTGCGTTTTAATGCGGGCACCTGTATGAGGTCAAGTACAAAATTCTGTATAAGTTTTCTTCAATGCTTCTCGTAAGCATAAACCTACCTGGCATTCAGTTCTGTCTGGATAATCACAGCAGCTGCAGTTGGTGTTGAAATACAATCCTGGGGCGCAAGTGTAATTCTGGGCAACACCTTTCGCACATAGGAAGTACTTGGAGCATGAAGCCTTGCTGGGTAAGTATATGAGATCAACGACTTCAGCCGTTCTCATGCACTCATTATCCACACAGTCAACATATTGGGGGAAATCACAACGATCCGTCTCCGCATTATACTGCAATCCGTCGTGGCACTCCCTCAGAACCGGAATACCATAATAGCAGAGCACGTATTTAGTGCAGGTGCGATCGTAACAGAAGGTGGTCAGATAATACTGTTCACATTTTGGCAAACAAGTCGCATCGTTTGGATAGCCACAGCTCTGATTGCGAGCATTGAACTGATAGTCGTTGTTGCACTGTTTCTCTATGGCCTCGCCATCTGACAAGACAATAGTTTGTATAATCGTTTGGATTTGTGCTATTTAACGTTTTCTACTTACCCCAGCATAAGTAATACTTTTGGCAGTCTCCCACATAGGGCAAAAAAATTCTGTTTGCCACATCACTGCAAAGGCTGATGTTACCCGTATGGAGCTTGGAAAATATTGCATCCGGATCATCGTCAGTAGGACCTGGCGCCTCAATTTCCCCCGTCAATCCATACAGCAGCAACAGACAGAAGGTTAGGAGACCAAGGATTTTCTGAGATTGCACTACTTGTGAAATTTAGTTAATTAAATTCATGAACAAAAGTTGACGTTCGGTTGGACTCACTTCTATTTGTTGGCACTCTTCTAACCTGACTGGACTCGCCATTCTTAAACAACCTCTTTTATATCGCAAGTTTTTAGCAATCAATTTAAATAACGCTTATTTTTCCCTTATCACCATCAAAGAACACATTTTAATTTGTATGATAACAGTTCGAATTTTGTTTTGATGACTGACTGAAGATATTGGCACAGCATCAAAAATCGCTTAAAATATGTAAGGGTTATATTGTTTTTGAAACATTTGTCGCCTGACGCTCGCAAAGAATTTTACCTACATACATCTATGTATATATACATATATATATATATATATATTTGGGAGCGTACACATTATAGATATGTCTGTATGTTTGTGCATAAATTATCGTATAAAATAATTTCATTTTCGGCTCAGTCATTTAGTAGCAATATTGGAATCTCGTCGCGCGTAGACCAGCGCATTGTTCTAAAAGAAATATTTAAAAAAAACATATTTCCTTAACATTTTGTTGAGCAGCGCCTGCAAATATCTGTAAGTTTATATAATTATTTTTTTTTTGTTTTTTTTTTTTCTTTTTGTTTCCAAGTGGATGCCACTCACATCATCCTAAAAATGTCAAAATGATTGACACAAATATTGCCACCAAGTCAGTTCGACATGAAACAAAGAAGAATTTTATTTATAGATATATGAGCTCTAGTTGCGTGTGTGTATTTTGAAAACACAATTGAACACACAATTTGGGTAATATAATCATCTAGAGAATTCTCATTTCAGGAACGTTGTTCGAAATGGTCAACGAGCTAAATAAACCTCAAGACAATGCTGCATTGAGCGAGGTGAGTCAAATGAAATGTGAAAAATATGAACACTAGAATCTAATATATGAGCTCTTTCTTGATATTTTTATAGATTCTGGCTGCATCCAACCGTCAGCTAGAGGAAATGCACGAGGAACGTCGACAGCTGCAGCAAGAATTAACTCTTTTAAGTGCGCAGCGAACACAATTGAGGATGGCGACCAGAGAGCATCATTCACAGATCGTTGAAACCACAGAGACATCGGTAGAGGGCAGTTCTGAGTCACAGTCCACACATTCTAGAGACAGCGCTGGTACAGTGCAAGCAAATGTCGTAGCCGATGAGCAAGCCAGTGAAGGCGAGGGCATTGAGGACAAAGAAGAAACGGCCAGTTATCTCCAGGAGAAGCTAGCGGAAATTGAGAATTTAAAGGCGCAATTCAAACGTGTACAGCAAATGACGGACACCACAAAGCGCATTGAGCAGCACATGTCCACCATGGAGTCATCTTCCTCTTCGACTGTGAAGCAGAGTAGACAAACTATGAGGGCGGAAAGTGTTCAATCCAGTAGCAGCACCAGCACTAGCACCAGTAGTAAGGCATTGTCATCGGAGACGGCAGTATCGGCAGCGCCCACAGCCGAAAGTTCTCCAGACAACGCGGAATTGCTCAACGCGATGATCAATATGGTTACGGATTTCACCAGTGATTTGCGTGGTCAAGAGGAGAGCTTGAAAGCGGAACGCCTTCGGATTAAAACCTTAAAGGAGGAAATTATACAACGCAAACAGGGCAAATAGATTAATACTATTAAAGAAATGAATTGCTTGCTGATTTACTTATATATATATATATGAAATTAAAATATATCAAATTGAAATGGCTGTTTTAATGGGTGCAAGCATGCATTATGTTTAACAAGTTTTTGTTTTAATTTTTGAATTTCTGGTACTGGCTGCTAGTAAAATTTGTTGACCAGAATCATCGATAAGTAGTGTCATATTTCGCTTGTGCAAAAACATCGATAGTGTTAGCTTGGCAATGTATCGCATTTGCCGCAAAACATCCAGCTCTGAAATATCGATAAGAAAATGTGCCATCTCTAGTTGTCAGGACGCAGCTGTTTGCTTGTAAAAAATTCAGCTTCGAAAATCCCTTTTTTTATTTTGGGAACTTAAAAGTAAATGATGTTTTTGAAATGAGTGCTGCGTTCAAATGATATTCAATTGATATGAGCAGTATGCGCCGCCTCAAGCGTCAGTGTTAGTTTATATTTGTTAACTGTGCAAATTGTATATGCATACGTTTTCCAATGGCGTCGACACCGCCCGTCAAATTAGTAATGAAAAAAAACGAGTGTGATAAAACGCGGAGCACCGGTGCCGTTCCCAAACAGGCTGCGGCAACATTAACATCAGCATCAACAACAGCAACATCAGCAGCAGCGACAACAAATACAACGCCGCCGACAACCAGATCCAGTAGCAGTCGTGCGCGCAACTCATCCCTAATCAAGCAACAGGAGGAACAGGAGAGGGAACGGGTAAAGGAGCTCATATCGGGACTGCGGCGTGGCAACTGCAAAAATCTATACGTAAGTAGATCATCATCGGGATTTTATAAGCATCGGCATATTTCCTAGACATACACACCATTATCAAATGTGCTTCAAATACAACCGGCACTGTTTTTCTTTTTTGTTTATATTGATTGACCACAATTTGCACATTTTCGTTGCCATGGCGCCCATTTGGTAGCTGGTCCAACCCACTCTCTCTCAGTTTCTCTCTTGATGCTCTTGCATTTAAAAATAAATTTCACATTCATTGTGTTTTTTGACCAAAATCATTCGAGAAGTCTGGCGCTGTTTTAGTAATACAGACGACCTCCTCCACGAAACACAGCCTGATATTTCCAACTATATATATACATTTGTACATATATATATATATACATATAGCTATATCCCATATAGCTGCAAAAATTGCCGCGATTTTGATTATTTGTCTATTGCTAATCTGCGTTTGTTGTTGCTTCAAGGATCTGCTGGAGCGTGCAACAGTAACAAAAACACATATCAGCACACAACGAGAGGCACTGCGTCAATTGGCAGCCGAGCACAGTTACGATCCAACAGGTAAGCTTACGGCAGTATAGTAATTGGGCATTAAATATTTAATATCGTCACGCACACCTGGGGCCAAGATTTACTGCTCACATAAAATGTGCGCTAGTTCATAGTCTAAATATAAAACAGCGCACAAAAATAAACGCCCACGGAGAGGGCCATTCGCATTGGGCATCACTGTGGGCAGCTGGCCAGCTTTTTTCTGGCTGCGTCATTTGCAAATGTACAAATTTCGCTTGCTTTGCAGATCAACTTCAAGAGCAACAGCAGCGCTTTTGCTTCCCAGTGCGTCCAGTGCAACGAGTTCAGCATCAACAAGCGCCGTCACCACTGCAGCCGGCAGCAGCAACAGCAGCTGCCCTGCGACTGCGTCAGCCAACGACACCCAATGCAACAGTAGGTGTCGTCACACCCAACACGACCAACGGCATCGAGGAACAGCAGTCCACAGTCAGCACTAGCAACAGCAACAACAACACCAGCAATCATCAAGTGCCCTCAGCACTTCAAACTGTGATTCATCAGATATTTGGACCAACAGCATCGCAGCACTCGACACGTTCACAAATTGAATTCCTGCGCAAATTGCTGGGTTTGGATGAGAATTGGAATAGCAATAGTGGTCAGCAGACAACAGGCAGTATAGTACAGGTAAAGTATTCGAAAAGTGTTTCTATAAAATCTCACTGTCAATGGAATTTATAAGTCAGCATCAAATAAATATTCCCTATTTTCAATACGTTTCTTTCTCATTTGCTTACAGCAATTGAGCAATATGGTTCATGAAATCAACCCGGGCGCTGGCGAAAAGGAGGGCATTGTCAATTCGACGAGTCTAGAGGATGTTGCATTAAGTGAGGTAGGTGTGCACTCAAGTTTTTTACATAGAACAGCAAAAGTAATTCAGTTTAATTACGCAGATGAGCGATCGGGCCCAGTCCATACAATCGCTGCACAGTGTAATGGAGACGCCCACGCCGGATACTACGCCCAGTTTCGATGAGCTGCAGCAGCGCTTGGATGCCTCCAATCGAAACATGCAGCATTTACATGATGAGCAGCAAAAGTTGCTGCAAATCCAAAACATGGCCAAAACACATCTCAACGAAATGGAGCAACTACGCCAAAACAGCGCACGCTTGTCGCATGCCGGTAATGGCGATGCACCCAACTATGAGTCCGTACAGCAAGTCCAGGATGACATGGCTTCGCTGGTGGGACGCATGAAAAATCTCACGTCTTTCATACACAATCAAAACGAGCTGAGCAACATACTGGGTGACGACGGCCCAGAGATTTTGGCCGAACAGCAGGCACTGCAACAGAAACTGGAATCATTGCGTTCGCAGCGCGAGGATATGCGTGAGCTGGTAAATGAACTGAACAGCATTAATGCCGTCGCCAGGGAGTCGAACGCTGCGCGTAACGCTGACCTGGAGAAGGAGGCAAAGCCAAAGGAGCCGACACCGCCGACTAATCAACTGACGAGGCCCGTAAATGAGCGCGTTGTGCCCGTTGAATACCAGCGCAATGTGCCCATCCTGCGCGAAGAAGCGTCTAAGGCGGCACAGCGTGCCCAACACGCTCAGAACATGATCAATCAGAAGACGGCGGACATTGATGCCCTAAAGGCACAAATGGCCAGGCTCAAGGGCATGCTGGACACTGTCACCCAAATAGAGGAGAGCACACCCAGCATGGGTGAGACGTTGGAGCGTCCCAGTCCCGACCACCATGAGATGCCCGTAGATATTTCGCAGCGTGTGCATGCACTAAACGATGTGACTTCAGAGCTGCGTGCCGAAGCGGCCAGTTTGCAGCAGGAACGCGATCGCATAATGGCATTGAAAGCCGAAATTGAGCGTCGCAAGCAGCAAGCAGCGGCTGCAGTGCAACTGGGTGATGAGGCTCTGCTGCGTAATAGTCTCACGCCAACGCCTACGCCTCGCCGGCAACGTGACGAAGACGACGAGGAGGAGGAAGAGGAGGCAACAACGAGTCAAGTGCAGAAGCAGACGCGCGATGAGTTGCGTGCGCAATGTGAGCAACTGCGACGGGAGTACGAGGAGAAGCAGCGCGAATATCAGGCGCGTTATATGAACAACAATGGCAGCAGCACCAATCACAGCAATAACAATAACACCAACACCACATCGGAGGCGGATGATGAGGGCAACGATGACACTGATAGCGATAGATATTTTGCTCAAATGCGAGCAGCATCTTCGGCAACATTGAAGCGTTCGCCATCGGCCAGCACTGTCGTTGAGAAACAACAACATCAACAACAACAGCAGCTTCATCATCATCATCAGCAGCAGCAACAACTTTTGCAACAGCAGCAACAACACCTGGAACAACAACGACGAACACATCAAAAACAACAACAGCAGCAGTCGCATCAGCCACGTATTGCCCACTCAGTGTCAAACAATGAGGAGGAGCTAAATCTGACCATAGACAGCCAATCGCTGGGCAATGATAGTCTGCAGTCGAGCAGCACCAGATCGCAATATATGCCGCCGCCCATGGCACCCGTTCAGGGCATCTGGAGTAAGTATCTTTACATTAATCTAGTAAACTAAACTAATCAGCTCTCATCTACATCTTCAAACAGGTACTCAAAATGCTACCAATGCTTGGCACTCGCAGCCAGTGTATGTGCCAACGACTCCAACTGGTGCGGCTCCTGCCCCCGTGGTGGCTGCCTCTTCAAATGCCTCGAGTGGTAACCCAACGCCCGATGCTGTGCTACTGCAGCAATTTATGCAAACGCAGCAGATGCTCATCAACTCGGTCTGTCAGTGCAATCAGACTTTGTGGCATCAGCAGCGTGAGATTGATAACCTCAACAATCAGATACATACGGTAATTTAATGAATCCATTGATTTTTCAATTTATTTAAAATATATGTTTAAAATATAAGGTGTAACGTTTAAGCACCCATTCTAATTTTGACTTATTAAACTAATTTCTCATTTTGTGCCCACAGCTACAAGATCGTCTAGCTACGTCGTGCCAGGAGCACGCCTATAGCCTGCGCTCGGAGTCTGTGCCACCGGTTACTTCCGGCCTGGCACCCAACAATCTCTGCCTGGGCGGCGTCAGTAATCGCGCACAGTCGGAGCAGCTGTACAGCTTTGGAGCCTCACACCAGAGCGCCTTCAGCAACTATCAGCGCAGCAGTCATCGCAACAATATATATAGTAGCAACGATCCACATTCATCGCAGACGTACTTGAATAATGCAGCGCCACCACCACCACCACCGCCGACGTCTGCACCGCCAACGCATTTTAACAACGAGACGCCGCTGTCGCCGCCCTCGTATCGCACCAGTCCGGGACCGATATTTATGAATCATCATAACAATACCATACATCAGAACAATGCCAATTTGCGTACACAGAATCAGCATGCGAACAATTTGCATTCATTGCCAGAGGATGGAGTTACTCCGGCCACACTGAACAATCAGGTGCCACCGGGCAATCGGGCCAACAACTACTGGGACAACTTCCGAAGGTAAAGCGCCAGAATATCTATAATCAAATGGTGTCGGGCTCTTTTATATGGATTAGGCAGCTATTGATTTATTTATTCTTTTGGGAACCAAAGAAATGTTAATTTAAATTCCTTGCCAAAGCAATAAAACAAATACTCAACGAAGTGCCACGACAAAAATGTTACAAATAATTTTGATTTATTTTCAATTTAAAATTGTTCAGAAGTAAGTAGTGAGAAGAAAAAAAAACATTACGAACTTTTCAATATTTGTAAAATTCTTTCCAATCAGATTTAGTTTACTACTAAAATTGATATTTATTGTTTGCTTTTATAATTAAATACTTTAAAATTACTAACACAAGGGCTAAGTGAATTCATAAACAAATTAAATAGTAATATATTGCTGCTATAACATTGTATGCTTTATATATAAACAATTCTTAATCGGTACAGAATTGTTGACAAAATTTATTTATTTACTTTAACATTGCGTTTGCATATGAAATTAAGCTGTTATTTTGTTGCTCGCTTTTATTAACCCATTAATATTTGTGCGCTTTGCAGTTATACGCGCCAGAATTTGCTCTCTAACAAAAGCAATGAGGAACTCAATGTGGAGCATCAGTATCGACAGATTCAGCGACAGCGTCAGCGTCCCAGCTACTTCCAGACGCATCTGCCACACACAGCTCGCAGTGCCACAGGCAGCATGCTACTGCAGCAGCAGCAGCAGCAGCAACATCAACAACAGCAGCAGCAACAACAGCAGCAGCAGCAACAACAACAACATCGTCACTTTTATGAGACGACAACACAGCATCTGCACAACAGCAGCAACAGCAACAATTTGAACAACAGCAGCAGCAATCGCGATTGGCGTGAGAATGTCCACGACGAGGAGGATGTGGATGAGGATGATAACAATGATTCCGCAGTGTTTGGTGGCAGCGGCAGCAGTGGTGGAGGCAGGCGCCGCAATCGTCGTCGCCTGATGCCCACGCTGCGTGACGAGGACTTCGCTTTGCACGAACTGGCCGCCGGCTCATCCAATTTGCTCAACATGAACGTGAATAGCCCCCAGTATCAGCGGAATAAAGTTCCTGCCAAGCCGACCACATCGACGGTGTCTCTGACACCGTTGCAGCAGCGTCATCTACGCTTTGATTTCGAGCTGCCTGCTCAATACATGGACTATGAACTGCCAGTGCCGCCAGAATCTCTACCAGTACAGCCCGCTGGTCCCTTATACAATGTAACTGCTCTGGAGTCCACTGCGGCAGATGAATCCAATGCGATGCTGGAGCAAACGGAGGAGACCGCTTCTGAGGAACTAAATCGTAATTTGCTGGTCAATGCATTGAAAAATGACAAGTTTACCACAAAGTTTTACGAGTCCATCAAGGAGGATGTGTATAGACGACTCGAAACTCTCTTCGAACAGCAGCAACAGCAACAACAACAGCAGCAACAACAGCAGCAGCAACAACAGCAGCAACAACAACAGCAACAACAACTGCAGCAGCAGCAACAAGGCGAACAGCAACTCTACAATGAAATGCATAGTCTGCGGAAGACGCTCAACCAGGGACAGCAGGCGAGCAGCGCACAGCCAGCTGAGAGTGCAGCTTTGAATGAGACAACTGAGGCCACGGAAAGTGGCAATGAAACGCCACAGGAGCAGCCAGCCAACGATAGGCCTGAGGATGAAGATAGCTTGCCAATGCAGGCTGCTGGTGCTGGTGTCGTCATAGCAGCAAACGCTGTTGAACAGGCTCACTGTGAGACAGCTGCTGCGGGCGCTGCGTCTTTGGATAGCGAAGATGTAAGTAGCTTTAAATTTTGTCCGTTTGTTGCTGCACGCGGTTCATTGCACGTCTATTTTTAAGCAAATAATTGAGGTTGTGATCGAAAGGGCTGCAACGCCAGTGGCCAGCATTGAAGTGTCGCCCGATCACGAGCTTATCGAGTACATAATCAAACGCATACGCAACCAGACGCATAACAACACCATCATCAATGACTCGCTGCTGGCCGAGGTCTCCAAGTTGACGGCCAATGCGGCACAGAACTCCGCCGCCAGCTGGATACCCAATGCCGCCTCGCCGCTCATTTCACCCAAACGCATTTATGCCAAGATCAAGAAGATGGAAATGCCGCGACAGCGTGATGAGTTCTTACTTTGGTATCGCGCATATCTGGAACAGCTCTTTGTGGTTGAGCAGCCGCACAACGGTTGCCCACAACCCAAGGTCAAAAGTAAGGAGGAGAGGAGGGTGAACAAAAAACAGGTGAACAAACGCGTACGTGCTCAATCCCATTCGCAGGATTCCAATAATGATGCCGACTTGGCCGAGGCAGATCAAAAGAAGGTCACGTTAAACGGCGGCGATACGGAGTGCGAGAACAATGAGAATCCAGACGAGAAAGCTAACGCAGCTGCAGCTGCGGATACACAGAGCATCAGCTTAGATTAAAATTAGTTAGTTTGTTAGACTTGTAGGTGACACACATCCAAACAACATTCCCAAGCATGCGTATAATCAATATATACACAAACACATATGACTAAAACACATATAAACTAAATTAGTTACTAGCTGCAGAAGTGGCCTGTTTTTCTAATTATTTTTGTTTTTGGCTTTTTGAATATTTAGTTTGTATTAAATTATATACTTAATAAATATGTAACACAAAAAAAGCAACCAGTTCTCAGATAACTTTTCTGCTTACAATTACAATAAGGCACTTAATAGCTAAATATTAATGAAAAGTTGATTGCCGTCAACTATTTACTAATTAATCCTGCGTCGATTAATTTGTGAGCTGCTCCAGCATGCGATAGTAACAATAGCGGCTGTCATATTCCATATCATACCAGAAATTGACGGCCACACATTTGTGGCTCTGCCGCACATGATGGAACCAATAATTGGGCAGGTAGAGCACATCGCCAGCGTGGACGCGCACACGCAGAGGACGCGCCTTGACATATTGCGGATATGTGGCCAGATCTGGTGCCAGTGGATCAATGCTAACCCACTCTGTGTGCTGCAATTTGCCATTATCATCGAGCATAGGTTCAATATAAAACTGTCCACAGGATTTTTGTTTGTACACTCCAGTGGGATAAGTGCGACGTGGAACACAGCAGAGCTGATGCGGTGGAATCAGTATGAAATCTTTGTAGCCTGAAATGACACAGTACAAATTCTCATAGGGATCCTTGTGCATGGATGTAATGGCACGCTCGTCGCCCAGCCAAAAGTTAACCGCATCTGGCGGCTTATTAAAGCACTTCTGTGCAAAGTTCAAGTCATCGGGCATAATATCATTAGCCAGCTCCGGAAAGTCGACGCTGAAATTGGAATTCTGCTTTTGTATATAGTGTATGGCGCCCATGGGATCATCGAGACGTTTCAGCAGCTCCGATAGCCTCATTTGTGTTTCCAGTGGTAGCACGAAATATTCCGTGCCATCCTGTGTAGCTAAACCATCCGCATAGCCATTGGGTGTGACAGCCACATCCACAATTTTATCATTTAATGTGGTCTGCAGGTAATCCGGAGTCCACTTTTCCACTGCTGGCCAACGGGCCACTGCTTGGCGTATAACGACGGGTGCGTTCTTGGCATAGTAATCACGAGCGAAGTCCAATGCACTGGGCAGGTCCTCCAACTCCGTTATATGTCCGCCAATAGATAGCTCCTCGGCTTCCTGGAGCAGCAGTTTTATGGCAGTTTCAATTTGAGTTTGAGCCATGCCGATGTCAAGCATGCGTAAGCCGATAAATACTTAAGTAAATTATCGATATATGGACAAAGGCAACACACGGATTGCCAAAATCACTTACTCATTCGATGCTTCAGTCTAAGTATCGATGTAATTGTGAGTTGATAGTCGATTGTTCTATGCACAGCTGTTTTCAAGCATACGGTACGAAAAAACATGTTGCGCTTGTAAAATTGATGAGAATTTCAAAAGTGTTAAATTAAAAACATAACCAGGATGCAGGACGCTGACGAGCAAACGTTCAACTGCATTGACGAGGCGAATGCGATTATTAACGATGTCAAGGGGCATGTGGCTGAAATCGTAATGTCCACAAAGCTGGAAAGCAGTGCCACGCAGATCTATCTCAACATTCGCACCATAGAAAGTGCCACCTGCTGTGTACAAGTGACGAATCGAGGATTCAAAATAGTCTCCTCGCTGTACGACACCATCGATGAGGATAAGGCGGTGAAATCCTTATTGCGGGAGAACGGCGAGGCAGAGGAGGATGATGAGATATTTGAGACACCGTATGCACTGCTGGACAAGATTAGTCCACGCTATGTTGAATCGTTTGGCAATAAGCTCTGTCAACAGCTGCGACAGCTTCAGCAAATGCGCACTGAATTCCACGAGGAAGACGAAGAAGAGGAGGATGAGGAGAATTAATTCAAGGGGGACTTTCAAACTGAGGCTGTACTCATTAAACACAAGATTTTAATGTTAGTTTATTTATGTAATTTATGTGTACTCGTAACCAAGAAAGTATTTCGGATAGTTTAGCAAACCCAAAAATCGAACCACTTTAGACTTTTAAGCGTTTCAAGAATAAAGATTGTGATTGCAATTCCAAATCGGTCAATTTGCGGACAGTGGGCACCATTTGTTCCACATGACCCTCATAGCCAGTGCCCATGCTGAGATTCTTTTGTCCATAGACGACCTTGCCATCGAAATCATTCACAGGCACATCCAGAGATTTGTCCACCTGTTGTATGGTGATATTCAGATGATCCTCGACCTCGGCAAGCAAATTAGGTTCATTGTACCAAATGCAACAGCCGCGCACATCAGTCAAATTTGTGTTATTACAGTTGCGGCCGCGTGTCTTACACCATTCGCCGTGGTACCACACCTTCTCCGGCACCTTGGACACCAAACTGATGGCCAGACCCATGCGCTCAGCGCGTCCCACACGACCAATGCGATGCACATAGTTCGATTTATCGTCCGGCAGCGTTACATTAATCACTACATAAATAATTAGCTTAATTAAATTTAAAGATTTTCAAATTTTGATTTAAGTGCACTTACTGAATGGTAATCCTGTGATGTCCAGTCCACGTGCGGCCACATCTGTGCAGATGAGAAACTTGACCTGCTCGCGTTTAAACATTTCCAGATTCTGTTTGCGCTCCTGCGGCTTGCGATCACCATGCAGGCAAACGCACGAGTAGCGTTGACCTCCACGCTGGCGCAAATGTTGCTCCAGATTATCACAGTCCTGCTTGGTGCGGCAGAAGAGAATGGCGCGATCCATTTTATGCTGATCAATGGCCCGAATGCAATACTCGCCCTTGAGCAATTTTACAGCCTGCGAAAGCGTCTCTGGCGACTGATGTGTGGGATGAACGTTGTCGCTGTCGTGAACACCATCAGTGCGTAATGGTTGACGAAGTTGCTGCCAACTGGTGTCTGTCTGCGGATCCACTATGCACACCACATGATGCACTGTTTCGGGCACAGCATCCTCACCCTTGAGGTCTACCCAGGTGGGAAAGTGCATTAGGCGCTCGGCCATCTTCTTCACCTCAAAGGCATGCAACGTGGCGGAGCAGACAATCATCTGCAGGCGACATCCGTCACTGGTTATTTTTGGGATTTGCTTGTGCAACCGCTCAATCAGATCCGTATAGCCCTGCTTGAGCAGCGCATCCGCCTCATCCAACACAAAGAAGCGACAATGGGTGAGCTGCACAAAGCCGCTGTTGATGAGCTCCTCCAGGCGACCGGGGGTGCCCACCACAATGTGTATGCCCTTCTGCAGTTCCGCCTTCTGCTCCTCGAGACGTACGCCGCCAATGAGGAGCAGCGGTCGAACCTCCGGATGACTCAGATGCAGCTTCAATTTCTCAATTTGATTATAGGTTTGTTCGGCCAGCTCGCGACTGGGTTCAATGATGATGGCTTGCGGTGCATTTGGCGCCGGCTTGTTGCCCGCTGGGTTGGCTGTGGGATTGGCAAGTGGATTGGGAGCGCTATGGTCTGGACCCGCCTGACACAAAGCCACATAACCATTGCCGGGCGCATACTTAAAATCTGTTTTGCCAAAATTGAATAACATCTCGGCATTCTTAAGCACCACAGCTGGATAGAAGTTGTCGTTGCGTAGATTTTCGGGTATTTTGAAGGCAACGCCTAAAGAAGTGCCGTTCTTGGTGAAGCTAATCTCCAGACGCTGCAGGTCCAGCATACAGCCCACCACATCTGCCTTGCCAAAGGCATCGCCATAATCATCAAACTGACGATTGTTGGACTTTTTGCCAGTGCCTCCATAACCGAATCCATAGCGACAAGTGCCCAAATCCAAATTGGCCATTTGCGTGGACCAGCCCACACGGCACAGACCCTCATCCGTTACGGTGGCCTCATAATAGAACTTGGCCTTGCCGTAGACGCCAGTTGTGGCCCGACATCCGTGCCACTCCTTAAACTCTCGCGACTGGCAACGAAAGCCATCCGGAGTGACGGCCAATGCATTGTTGCGATCGAAGAAGGACATGGTCCAAGGAGCAACAGCTCCAGCAGTCTTAGATCCGCCCTTACCCACCTTCCCCTGCTGCAAATCGCGTATTGTTTCCCACACAATTTGAATAATCGGCAGACAAAAGGCGCCCGTTTTACCAGACCCAGTTTCGGCGGCCATCAGGACATCGCCTCCGCCTAGGATGAGTGGAATAGCTTCTGCCTGCACATCGGTGGGCAAACTAAAACCAAAACAATGCCCCAATCATATAGAAAGCAAATTATATTTTTGAAGAAATAACTTACGTCCAGTCCAATTCATCGGTCGCTTTGCCAAGCTCTGGCAGCACACCAAACTCTGCAAAAGCGTTTTTTAAATAAAAGACAATGTAAAGCTACTTAAAAACTTGCCTTCAAATGCAGTCATTGCTTATTTATATCTTTAAAATGAGTTTTAATTATTTCTGCACTTCCGCACCGGCTGCAATATTTTCACAAAGTTTTGCGACTTTTTCAATGCACTCAGCTCAGCTGAGTACGCCTGGCAACTTTTGCTGGCAAAGGCAAAATGAACTGCGTTTCTCGATTTCAATGTTAATATTTTAAAAGGTAAATTGACTTATTTGAAATGTGGATTTTTATAATTGCGAATCAGATATTTATTCGGCTTCCATGACAAATTTATCTCGAACGATATGCATAAAACTATTTCGAAGAGTTGCCAAGTATAACAAAATTGTTGCGAATTTAAGTGCTGTATAACGACAGCATATCAACAGCTGTGATTTTCAGGAAATATGCAACACTTATATTTGTATACGCATTAATGCAGAGATTTTTTTTTATCAAATTATGGCAAATGTTTTGTTAAAGTGCTAATTAGTTAATAGACATGTAAATTTTGGTATATATTCTAGAACAAACTCAAGTGTGAGTACTCAACCATTGTTAAACTGATACAAAATTGTGATAATAGTATGTTTTTGTGTGCAACACACAGCAATTTGCTCGCTGGAAAGACAGACGGAGGAGGAGGATGTACTTTCCACTGGGTTGGCCCAAGCGAGTCAGCCTGGCGCTGCCGGGGCAAGCGACTCACATTCGTCACATAACCTGTGATGCTGTCAAGATACTCGTTGCCGCTGTTGGCTCCGATTTTCTGGGCATTTGGTATGCAAATCCGCTGCTGCCAATTGCATATTATTGCCGCAGCACTGAATCTCTACAGGAGTTTGGCAGTAATCAATTAATCATATGGAAACCCGACTCCAGGCAGCTGGCCGTGCTAACGGATGCGGGCGCCCTGCTCCTCTATCAACTCGACTTTGATGCCAATGGCAGTGGCATACTCATGCAGGTGGATCCACCCGCATTGAGTCTGAAACGCGATTCCGCTGAGCTTTTCATCAAGGAGAACATTCCCCGTTTGAGCCTGCGCGAGGTGCGCTGCGTCACCCTGGACTCAGTCATCTCCAATGTGTGCTGCATAAGTCTGACTGAAATGCTCTTGGCCACGGAATCGTGCGAACTGTTGCGACTGCAATGGTCTCAACTGGAGACGATCGACGAGGATCTGCAGCCGCTGGCTGTAATCAAACTGCGCGACATTCCCTTCTATGTGCAGCAACAGCAGCAGCAGCCCGCTAAATATTTGCCCCCCATTGGCAATACGGCGTTTGTCGCCTCGCTTGAATATTCCCCATTTATAGGCGGATGTGCGGCTGTGTTCAGTGATCAGCGTGCCGCATTCCTCATTGCGGATCATCTGCGTTTCGAGACGGCGCACATGCATGGCTGCTGGGTGCCGGATGTCTGCGATGCAAGTGTTTGCAGTGTGAATCACAAGTTCCGACTGCTTGCGTACGGGCAACAGAGCTCGGCGGTGGCTGTTTATGCCATCGATGATGCCACAGCTGGATTGGAGTATTCGCATACGCTGATGCTGACGGAGAATGTGTTGCCTGGCAGCTTGGGCGCTGTCAATGAGCTCAAGTGGAGTCCAGATGGTTGTGTGCTCGCCGTGAGCTGGACAAACGGTGGCCTGTCGTTGTGGAGCACCTTTGGTGCCCTCTTGATGTCCACGCTGAGCTGGGACTTTGGTTTGCATGTGGATCTGCTGAAGCGAAATCCCTTGCAGCTGCGTCGCCTGGAGTGGTCCACCGAAGGCTATCAGCTGTTCATGACGTGCCGCGAGGGAGAGAACAATGTGCTCCAGCTGCAGTTTGTGAAGAGCGCATTGAGCATGAATCCCTGCATGAGCGCCCACTCACACATTCTGCTCCAGGGTGACGATTGCTTGTATATCAATCAGGGTGACAATTTGGAGCAGACCTATGGCAATGCCAATTGCACGTTCCCCAGCAGTTCGACTGCTCGCACCGACGACTGCGTAGAGCTGAAGCAAAGCCCGAATATGGGCAGCATTTTAACGGAGAGCAAATACTGGACGTTGCTCCAACTGCCACTCAACTATGCGGCCACCAATTGGCCCATACGCTACGCAGCCATAGATGCGGCTGGCTTACACATTGCGGTTGCTGGACGCACTGGATTGGCGCACTATGCTATGCTCAGCAAGAAGTGGAAACTGTTTGGCAACGAGTCGCAGGAGAAAGACTTTGTGGTGTCGGGTGGCCTGCTCTGGTGGCAGGGCTTCATTGTTATGGGCTGTTATTCGCTGTTGGATCGCACGGATGAGCTGCGCTGCTATCCGGCCGAATGCAAGCTGGACAATCAATATGGACACAAGATCCAGGTGCGAGCGCCCGTCATCAGTTTAAATACGTATCGAAATCAGTTGATTGTCCTGACGGCGGATGGGATTGTCAGCCTTTTTCGCATGCACAGACAGTCGGCGTACAGTATCAACGTGGAGTGCGCCTATGAGCTGGACGTGAAGAGCATTTGCATACATCCCGCTTGCATTGTTAGCTTAACAGTGACCAATTTGCGCAATGAGCTAAAGCCACAGCAACAAAATGCGGAGGCGGAGACGATTGTGGTCAATGTTTGTGGACGCATACTGATGATACAACGAGAGGATGCCGCCCAGCAGGTGCCCAATACACTGTTGGCCACCTGTTTGGCAAGCTGTGTGGAATGTTTCTGGCTCTCCCACAATCTGGAGCACTGCGCCATGCGCGACTGCCTCTGGCTATATTCTGGGGCGCACGGCATGCGCGTCTGGCTGCCCATTCTGCAGCAACGCTCGGAGCAGAGTGGCGCTCAGCAGCGTTTGCATAGCTTCATGTCCAAACGGATTATGTTGAGCTTCCCCTTAAAACTCTATCCACTTGTCATACTCTTCGACAATGTGATTGTGCTGGGTGTGGAGAACGAAAGCACCCTGTATACGAACGAGACGAACTCCCATTTTGCTTTGCCCTTCGCTTTGATGGAACGCAAATCGCAGGTGTATCTGCATAAGGTGCTGCGCCAGTTGATCAAACGCAACTTGGGCTATTCGGCCTGGGAGATTGCGCAATCTTGCCGGAGTTTGCCCTACTTTCCACACGCCCTGGAGTTGCTGCTCCACGAAGTTCTGGAGGAGGAGGCCAGCAGCAAACATCCCATACCCGATGCCCAGCTGCCGAGCATTTTGGATTTCATACGCGAGTTTCCCGTCTATCTGGAGACGATTGTGCAATGTGCGCGTAAAACTGAAATTGCACTTTGGCCCTATCTGTTCAGCATGGCCGGGAAGCCCAAGGAGCTGTTTCATCTCTGCCTGCAGGCGGAGCAACTGGAAACGGCGGCAAGTTATTTAATCATCATTCAGAATCTGGAGCCGTCGTCAGTTAGTAAACAACATGCGAATATGCTGCTCGATATCGCGCTGAATCAACGTAAATGGGAACTGGCCAAGGATCTGATCCGATTCCTCAAGGCCATCGATCCCAATGAGATTGATTCGCCACGGTGCTCAATGGTGTTGAATGTGAAAATTGCACCACCTCAACCCCAAACTCAAACGCAGGTCAATCAAAATGCGGATGTCTTCAATTTGGTGCTTGGACCGATAGCGACGCGAGAGCGCAGTTATTCCACCACCGTAACAAGCAATTTGCCCAAGGACAACAAGCAGCAACAAAGCGTGCCAGCCTCTGTGGAGCGAAGTGAGGCGCCCAGCGGTGGAGTGGGCAGCAACGTAGCCTCAGCGACTGTCGTTCGTCGTAAGTCGACCAAGGAACGGCAACAGCGGGAAATCTTCAACATTGATCTAATCCTGCAGCGACATGCACGCCAATTGCTGCAGCAGCACAAGTTGCTGGATTTGGGCTACATGTGCGCCTATCTCGACTTCCATTTGGTCAGCTGGCTAACGCAGGAATCGACAGCCACAACGCGGCTGGATAATTTTGCCTCAGCACTGCAGGCCTTACATGCAGAACTCCAGTTGCCCAGCCCATTCCCTGCAGCGGGACGGGATGATTTTGCGGTGTTGCGCGGCACCCATCAGCTGACTGGAGCCGCTGGTGGTGGTAGCTCATCTCAAACCTCGGAGTCTGGTTACTTTAGTCTTGCTGCGCAGCTGGAGTCGCCACAGTTGCAGCCGTGCATCAAGGAGGAAGAGGAACTGCAGCACAGCTCATTGCCCACTCTAAAGAATCGCTCCAGTTCGCAGTTGTCGTTCGATAACTTTCGCTATCGCCGCCTCTACTCGCTGCCCGCTTCGGACGATGACAACATCGATGCGGTTGCCTGCTATTTGAACGATAAGTTGGCCATTAAGCTGCGCTATCTTCTCCAGCTCTTCATCGAGGCCAATTGCACGGACTATGCGCTCATGCTGTCCATTTTGCTGCAGGACGCGGCTTCGATATCACGTATTGTAAACGTTGTCATACGCAGTGAATCAGTGGGCACCTGCCGACGCATCGAGGCCGCCCTGAAGCAGCTGAGTCAGTGTACCTTCGACAATGGTGGCTCCATGTATCGTGGCTTTGTGATGACACTGCAGCCACACATTTACCTGCTGGAGCAGTATATTCAGTCGCTGGGCGAGGCGGCAGTGAACGATAGCATTGACGATAGCAATGAGTTGAGCGCCGATGCGGCATCCGTGCTGGAGAATGATCCATTGGATGGGTCCAATAATAACTTTGTGCCAAAATGCCAGCAGCTGCCCAACGGCAACCAGCGGTCGTCGGAGCAGCGTCTGACTCGACATGCCAGTCTCGAATCTAAATCGAAATCCAATGGTAATCCCGGAAATCCCTCCTCCACACAGTCGACGCCCACGCAACAGCTGCAACGTCGTGGCAGTCGGGAGGCGCCACGCGACGGTTGTCGGCTCATGTAATCATCGTGTAATCACACAGAAATAGAATTCACATACTCAATGCATGTACGTAATAATAATACAGACGCATACAAAAGTATGTTGGTATATTTTTTAAGGATTTTCTTGCATGTTGCTGTGTTCTTGTAATTGTTGAAAGAATTTTGTTAATTGTTAAAGGCCGAACTCAGAATGAAATAGACATCGATGAATAGATAACGATTACGTTGTAAGCAAATATCTGTATTAATAATACGTATATAAATGGAATTCATAATATAATAGATGAATTTTGCTGCAATATTTGTTAATTATAAAATTTACAACAAACTCTAATCTTAATTATACAAATATATATTTTTACTAATAAAATAACAACTAGACAAATTTAATTGATTTTTCATATTTGGGTTATATGGGTTAAATGATCACATTATCCTTGAATGCAGTTTGATAGAGCAGAGCCTCGAGATTCTAAGGCATCCATTGAAAATCGAATATTACAAATTTTAATACAGAAAATGGCTCATAATACGAGCAGTATCTTTGCGAATCCTGTTAAAAACTTTTTGCTTAATCAGTGTCACCTGAGGGCATCCAAACTGTCCATTTAGTTTCCGAGAAAAAAATTTTTTTTTTGGGATTTTGATTCCGCCTTGGGAGTGAAATTCTTACAAGTGCTTTGGTTCTTAGATTACCACATAAGCCTTGAAAGCAGTTCAAAAGAACAGCACCTTCAAATTCTGTCCATTTGCTTTGAAAATCTGTACGGATTTGGCAGCGTTTGAGCTAGTTTTGTAAACCAAATATTCAAATCCCTAAAAGTGTGCAACATTACTCAATGCAGTTTCTCCCAAAATTGCTTCTGGTATAATTGAAAAGCCAAGAGATATGCAATATAAACAGTTTATTTTTTAATTTTTAATGAATTTTATCTTTAAATACTCGTATAATATTTAAAAGAATATTATGATTTTTTTATAACTTATATTATTGCTTTGTTTATTTTTATTACTATGTAAAATATTTTTTTTCGATTTAAATACAGTAAAAATATTTACAATTTGCGATAAAATATATTTATAATCAATCATAAATGATAATAGTAATAATGCAATTTTCAAGTTGAATTCTTAAAACTGTATTTAAATTAAGTTTTTATAAATATTTGTATATATTTTTAATGTATTTTAAGCAGCTGTTTTATACATAATAATTAAAAAAATCTTAGAGAACTCATGCGTTTTTTTGATTTTCATTCGGTGTCCAACCTCATGTATCCTATCGGAAGTTACGATATAAGGGGGCAGTGACCACCTGCTCTCAGCTACAGATGAGTACCAAACCTCATATGTTTGGAGTTGTTTTTTTTGTTGTCTGTTACCTGCATTCATGATACTCCATTTAAGCATTTTTTATTAGTTCAATTACAAATTAATTTTTGTAAGTGGCAAGCCGTGAATGCTAGAGATTCATTACGTGTGCTGCTTGATTTGGCGGTTACTCCGCATTGCGGGTGGATAGGATATTATTAGTAAGCATTGTTGTTCTGGCTTCCTATCCTGCTGCGTCTGTTGTGCATTTCCACTTTTCACATTTTGAAGTTTTTAGCGCAATTCGCGCAATTGCAAACTTTGACTGCAACGGAGTTTGCCCCGTTTGCTGCCAACAACAGCAGCAGAAGCAGCAGCAGCAGCAGCAGCAGCAGCTTTCAATAAAATCGTCAACGTAAGTGCTTACAAAACGTAATCACTGTAATGCTACGACGACGGGGCAGAAAGAAAGGCGGTAACGAGCAGGAGGCCAACAACAATTGCAACAACTGCAACAACAGTAATAACAGCAAAATCAGCAACAGCAGCAACAGCAGCACTGGCAGCGAACGTCATAGAACTTTTCAGTTGCTCTCAAACATCACAGCCCCTGCGGAGACTGAATATGCGGGTGTGCATGTGTATATGTGTGTGTGTATGTGTGTGTGTGTATGTGTGTGTGTGTGTGCCTTCAATTTGAAAAGCGTTGGCGGCAAGAACGCAGAAATTCGTGTATTTCGTATCCGTTGTCGCCGACAACAACAGACTCTTATGCCAGGCTTCAATCTTGTTGCTCTGGTCGTTGTTGTTATTGTAAAAATAACTATTGACGCTTCAGCGAAGAGGCAGTCAAAGTTATAGTTGTGTGCAACGCCTGCATATGTACGATGCACACACACACACTGATACACATAAATAAAAGCATCAACACCAGGCACACTGCTCAGCGGAAGTCGTCGCCGTCAAGAGCGCGGTCTGCAGAAATTGTTAAAAACTTTTACATATTCTTTATATTGCGGACAACCAGAGCAGCAGCAGCAGCAGCAGTAGCAGCAGCAGCAACAACAATAACAACTGTAATAATGGCAACTACAACAGGATGTTGCGGGTATGCCGCAGACAACAAAACCACACCAACAACATTGGCATCAAAAACAACAACAACAACAACAAATATTACAGTGTAATCAACAACACCACATGCGACGACCGTTGGCAGCCATCGCCCAGAAAAGCCTGGAGCTGTGTCTACAGCCAAGTTCCTGGCACACCACTCAAGGGTTAAGCAACCAGCCACATCCTCAGACTTTGCCTTATTGCTCCAGTTGCTGTTGTTGTTGTTGTTGTTCTTGGTAACCACTGCAATGTCGTTGTTGTAGGTGTAGTTGTAACAACTTTCCCAAAAATATTTGAGCGCTGCGGTGCCTGATGAATTTCGAGTTGTCTTGGTGATTTTGATGAATGCCTTCAATATGCATATGTGCTGCCATGTTTTCTGGCATGTGTGCATCTTGCACAAAGCTTATCCTGCGTAATACTCTAGCTGGGTGCAACTACGGCTATCTGCGATTTTTGCAACGTTTATGAATGACATGTAAACTTGTTGTGGCTGTAATAAAATTCCAGAGTCTTGTGTGCATGCAATGAAATTGCGGTTATCTGAGGAAGAGCCTCCAGAGCAGTCAACAGGCCTTTGTTATCGATCACAATACACACATAACTGCATATGTGTATATGTTAGCTTGTTAATCATCTGCATTGAATATATATGTGTAGGTTGGCTGTCGAAGAATTTTTGAAATATAATACTTGCTTGGAGTGGAGGCATCCAAAAACAATACGAAATTTGTTTTCATTGACTTCCGTTGTTGATGATTTTAGTGAGTTTGATAGGAACATGTTAGTAAACAGAACAGATATATTTATATACCATTCCTGCAGTATTTTATTGCCTGCATTATTTATAATACAATAAAATCCAACAAAAAGAAAAACAATAATTTTGATTAAAAATTGTAGATATTTTCCTGTTCATTTGCTAACTAGTCTATAACGCTTAAAGTTTACGAAAGTCACTCGTGTTGCTGTTTGCCAGAATTTGATTTAGAAAACCAAAAACAATTTCATTAGCATAGATTACGAGTCGTTCAGACAAAACAACGGACTTGCATTTCAAATGAACCCAAAAACGAACGTTGTCGTGCTGGCGACCCCTTGTGAAGTGAAGTTCTAACCCGGCCAGCCACCTCACCATCCATCCCCATCCATGCTCCACCGATTTGAAGTGCAGCTGAATGCACATAGCTTCAAAAACAGTTTGCACCCCCAGTTGCTAGCTGAAAGTCTCCGGCATTTTGGGTGTAAAAATTCCTAAATTGTACATTCATTGCATTTGCATTTTACAAGTAAATCCCCAACTGCCAATCTAATGTATGTGTTGCAGTTCCGAACTTTTCTCTCTCTCTCTCTCTCTCTCTCTCCCGCTCTCTCTCTCTCCCTTCAACTGTCTGTCTGTCTATTTGTTTGTAGCTAGCGAAGCGTCTAACCATTCGTCCAGCTGCCAGTGGCCGGAGCCTGGAGCACGGAGCACTGAGCACTGGGCTCATTCATGTCTGTGTCGACGCTTTTGTGTAAAACACTGAAAACTCGGCACTTTTTTTTCGCTTTTATTTGCAACTTTGCTGCAACTTCCAAATTTCAGGCAACACCAGAAAAATAAACGACAAAAAAACAAAACAAAAAAAAAATAGGAGCATAATAAAAGCTCAAAATGCAGCCGTAACAACCCCGACATGACCCCGAAAAACAGCGACACAGAAAACTTTTGTCGAAAAATCACGGAATCAACTTGCCAGTGGGCAGAGTCCATTGGCAACGCGTTGGCTGCTCCGTCTGGTACTCCAGCTGCAGCAGCAGCAGCAGCAGCAGCAACTGTTCCCGTTCATGCTCCTGCTGCAGCTGCTGATGCTGATGCTGCGTCTGCTCGGTTGTTGGACCTACATCGTTAGCTGCATTTGAAGTTGGTCTTCGCATCCACACTCTCGACTTCGTTCCCGACTTGCTTTCCGAGGGCATGAATAGATAAATACGCTGAGGCAACTAAAGTAGGTGTTGCTGTTGCCCGTCTGCTGTCTGCTTGGAAATTTGAAAACCGCAAAATTGTCTGCCCTGTGGGTGGACTGGCTGCTGTCTAGGTGCTCGCTTGGGTCATTCTCTGCAGCCCCAGCTGTCGAATTTTATTTATTTCGCTAAGGCCAACAGCTCACAATAGAAACGTTAATGGCAATGCCGAGCTCGACACGTGTGTATGTGCGAGTGTGTGTGTGTATGGATCGGGGCGTCAGTTACACAGTTTCCGTTTGCCTTGAGGCGTTGCGAAACTGACTAACATGGACCTGAACCGACAGAGCGACCACCTGGGCACCAATCACAAAAGAATCGTTCAAGTTTTTGTCGGAGCAACCATATGTGGGTGTATGTGTATGTGTATGTGTAGGTGTGGATGTATGTGTGTGTGTGTCTGCAGGCAAAAGTTGGGGCAGATGTTGTTGTTTCTCTTACTCCGACACTTGTGAGCTCTGAGTGTCATGTAAATGTTAATGCCAGTGCCCTATGCACCTTTAGCGTGCCCCAGCTCCAGTTTCTGCTCCACATCCCACACTTTTCGTCTCACGTCCATCTGCATTTCCAACCCCCAACCAAATGGGCAGCGGTAGCAGCAACAGCATGCGGCCTCGTTGCCAGCGTTTTATCACGTGTCAGAAACAGTATCGGGCTTTGAGTTCTTCTGACACGCCCCCTCTTGCAGTGCGTGCTAGAGATGGGTGCGTGACTCTATGGATTGACAAACCATATTTTCATAATAAGCACTGAAATTTGTATTCGAACTTTATATTTATTATTAATTTCCATTATTCTTATTAAGCAAGCACTAATTATTAATTAATTCATTTGCTTATTAACAATTATCATCTTATCGCAGCCCTGCTGAGCACCCAGTCATCGTGAAGAATGCCAAGGCTCACGAGGCCATATCAGTGTGCTTCTGTGTGTGTGTGTGTGTGTGTGTGTGGG